AGGGACAGTCCCTGATTAGGCCCAAATCCATCTGTCGGGGGCGGGGCCGGGCCGCCGAGCCGAGCGGCTGCAACCCACGCCGGCTCCGGCAGAGAAAAGCATAAAACAGCCTGAAACACTCAGAAAACCCACGGGGCCTGCCGAAAACCGAAACCGGGGAGGTGATCGGGCGGAGAGGAACCGGGGAAGCACACATTGAACACCCGGCTCGCGAAACGATGCCTGAGGCCTCAACCACGCTACATGAGACAGACCCACGGCGCGCAAGTAAGGCGTGGGGGGCCGAGTCCGGCCCCGCTCCCCCCCCACCTGGCCGGGGGGGTGATCCCGGCCCAAAGTCTGAACTTCGGAGGCTGGAGGAGGAGGCACGCCAGGAGCATGACGCTCCGGTATACAGAGCTACAATGGCCGACGGATACACCGTGCTAACGCTGCACCACGGGGTGATTCACGCACACGCAGCAGAGACCCCGCACTGGGATACCGAGACCTCCGGGACGGCGGACCCACGACTGGACCCCCATGGGCGGCAGACGTGCCGATGGAGAACCAGCCCTGAACCCCGGATTGGGTGGTGGTCCGGGGGAAAACAGCCCCCAACACTGTGAGCCCGATGGAGCTGTGAAGCGCGGGCCTACCGGCGGACCGGTGGCCGGGGGGCACGCGCCGGCAACATGTAAGTGGCCGGAGGAGGATGTGGCAAGTCAGGGCAGGGGCCCTGGGGAGGCACTGCCGAAGCTGGGGAGCTGCAGGGGGCAGGAGCCCAGTGGACTCTAAGGTGGGGAGGCCACCGGACAGCTCCGGTTTCCGAGTGCCAACAGCGGGGGTGGTGCCCCCTAAAGACATGGAAGCATACCCTGGGGAGGAAAAGGGATGGGACTGTCACACCCGGGGGATCCGGAGAGACTCAGGGGGGGTACAACTGACCCAACAGGCGCAGTACCATTTGGAGGTAACCATGGGGAGGTCATACCAGAGAGAACAAAAGCCACGAAGAAGGCCGTCAATTTCGCTTCAGAAGGCTTCATCGTGCCAGGCGCCACTACGCCCCCTCCAGCGAAGTGACTCATATGCTAAAAGCGTACATTCGTATTGTTAGGGCTAACCACGCCAATGTCTTCATGTGCATAAGCAGCGGTACATAGAATACACACCAGGCAACAATTACCTAAGATTGTGAATGCATTATGTACTGAATACCTACGGGGTTAAACTCAGGCACCACAGATGCAGATCAGTATATAACATGTTGCTGAAATAATAATCATTTCTACTATCAATACACTTGATTTATAGCAGGCCTATTTCGCAATTAACTAGACGCTGCTATAATGTTAAAGATATGATGTATCTTTGCCTCACGGTGCCTGACTAATATGCTATTTCTGCCATATATGGTTACCGTACCATGCGTATAGGCGGTTATTTGAGCCTAACGAAGCCCTTCATACTGACCATGCACAGTGCTTAGTATTAACATCTGATTGCTCCTATATTCTTTCACCAGTAGACTCTAAACAATGTTTTTTGCATATATCCATTTTTAATTCTGTTTAAAACTGAATGTAAGGTTAATGTCACAGTGCCTCAAAGGGCTAAAATACATTGTCGTAGATCGTTGCCTACTCAATAGATACAGACAGGATCCATACCACGTAAAACCCTTTGGTTTTTTACATAGGTACCCGACCGCATGGACGTAGTGCCTAAGACAGCTGATCCGAGGACCCTTAATTACGCCCAGATCACTTTTCTCAATAATATGGGAACCCATGTACACGTTATATAATTTGTTTGTTTATGCATCCCTCTACCAGTATCGCATCAATAGCTACGGCATACATCAGCACTTGTATTATAGGATGGTCATTTCTTTTAACACTGCATTAGATTGCCTATATACTTCATTACATGTATGGCATGATCAGCTACAGTTTACTTCAGATTGACGCATTATAGGATGTTGTTACCTTTTATGCTGTAATGCTTAGAAATGTATTCCAGCAAAGTTCAAGTACGCCTATATGTTCTGATCATTACGCCTCTGCGCAGGCGATAATCTGCATTTATTCTTATGTGCTAACATTTAAGCCTCTACGTAGGCGACCGTTCACCATAATGAATGCTATAACTTACTGCTTAAGCCCCTGCGTGGGCAACCTCTGGCTTTATTACGAACCAGTTCGCAATATGCACTTATATTGTGAAAACAATAAAAAATATTCAAAACAAATCCATCTGTCCATTTTTTCTATCCTAATGTCCTTTTTTTTCCCAAAGAGCTCCAGCCCCAACTCTGGCCACTCTCACATTCACACCCCTAAAATTAAAGTGTCCATTTGAAATGTTGATAGGTACAAATGTGTTAGATTGGTAAAACATGTAAATTGTTAAGAATTTCTGGGAAATTAAAACTATACATCTAAATAGCCGAACCGGAAGCAGAAACTATTTGCTGTAATTTTGCAATTCATTTTTTTTTTTTGTCGTGACATTTGGCTCTCACTGTCACTTTGTTGAATAACCCTTTCAGTGTCTGTCTGCATGGTATTCATTAGATTTACAGGCCAAAGAAATATTTGAATGCTAATATGCTTAATGCATTGTGACATCGTTGCAGATTCATACAATGTATGGTGACATCATCAGGCATCATCCACCTCATCACAAAGGTTTTTTACTCAGGATCATCAGTACAGACGTAGGCAGCATAGAGGTAGGAGAAACATACATGGGAATAACAATTTTATCAGGATTATTGAGGAAAAATGTATGGAAGTCAGTATTGGATAAAGATAGGAGTTTCTAAGGATTAGCATTAAACAGGAGTAAAGTTAAGGGGGCAGATGCAATTTATGAGGAAGGGGAATTTATCAGGGGATGGGAGACAATAAGTAACGTCATACTGAAGAAGTAAAGTTATATTTCAAGGACTGTTATGGAGGGAAAGAGATGGGGAATGATGGAGGATGGACTCATACACAGGGGTGTATGGGATAATGGAGGTAGATTGACCTGGAAATAGTTGAAAATGGCCAATAAGGCCAAGACTTTTGTTATTGAGGGGTAAGAAAGAAACTAGCCTGGAAGGAAGGTATAGAGGGACTTATGAGGTGTAAATTAACAAGGGTTGAGATGGCAACAGAAAGGATATCCCCATCTCTTTATAAAGCAAGATCAGTGTGACATCAGATGACATCACACTACCCCATAGCCAATACTGTCTTTTTTTCTGTACCCCTTCCCCTTAGCATGGTTTTGTGGTACTATACAGATAATAAGAAGACAGTGAATTACTGTTTGGTAGAACAACTCAATTCAATTTATAATGATATCTCATTGGCCGGCCTTGGAGACTCCAGTTTACACCTATGGCAGGCAGCAATTCCTCTCCCTCTCTCGCAACCCCAAGCATTGTGTTTGTTGGAGCATTGCTGTGGTAACCCGGGGAAACACTCTGACAGCCTAGATTCAGGAGAAGACCTGGAAGCTGAAGTGTCCTGAGCCAAGGTCCTATACTCCCAATATGTATATACGATCGGCAACCAGGACTTTTTATCTTAATTATTGTATTTCATTTTTATTTACTTTTTAGCATATTTGTATTATTAAATAGATTACATTTTATACTAAGTCCATAGAAGCCTCAAGTACCTTCATTTGGGGAAGTGGCAACCCCTTTAGAGTGGCACAAAGCCTAATACCCTCAGAGCCAGGATTTTAAGGCTCTCTAACAGGTGAGCATAATACCTACTTACATTCTATCAGAAATATTCGTGAATTGACTATACTACACATTGGATGTTCCTATTGTTTTTATCTTCCCGGAGAAAAATTTCAACAAGAAATAGTGGTGGGATGCTGCCCTAAAAAGCATACCGGTCCAATTTACAGAGCCAAAATATAGGCTCTGGAAAATGTGAGTGATCCATTTATCTACCGCATTTGAAATTGCACAAGTGTTTTACAATCTGCACTATATTATATATTTTTATCTTCCATATCTGTATGTGACGTATATGACCCAATCAAGACCCTGTGAGGTAATTCCTCAACATTTATAGCGCTCCACTTAAGAGACATAATATATATATATATTTTATATACCAAATTCCTGTGTTATGTATATACGATAGATTGATGACTCTGTATATATACACACATGCATATTGGGAGTATAGGGCTTGGGATGAAAATATAATTTTTCCTCTTTATAGATCAATGGTTAAGACCACACTTTGAATATGCTGTGCAATTTGTGGCACCTATTCTAAAGGATATTAAAGCACTCGAAAAGATTCAAAGACACTTGAACTCATTCTGCTTTACACAGCTCATGTCTCACCTTCTCTTCCTCTATGTTATACAGGGCTTATTACAATTAAATGTTTACCTATTTTACAGCGATACGGAATATGTTGGTGCCATATAAATAATTGTAACCATAAGGTCTTACCTACCCGACTTTACATTGCAGTGTTTTGGGTCAGGTTTGTTTCTAAGTAACTTCTCTTATCGATTGATCGAATTTGCTGTTGCTCTTTCCATAAATGATAAATGAAGAGAAACTCGTCCTATACAGTACTTAGCAAAACATACTTTCGGCCCCTAGAGGTCAGTAGCCTATAATGTTGTTCAGCTTAGGCTGTGATACAGATATATCCTTGCTTAAAGCACTTTAGCAAAGATCTAAAATGACCTTTTCACCTGCACATAATAAAATATTCTGAGGATTCAGGCTCTTTAGGTGCTAGGCTATTTCTAATTTGTTCTAAAGTCAGTCTGGGCTATTGAATTCACTGCATTTAAACACCAATATTGATGGTTTTTCAGTGTTACAAAATATATATTTCATTATTTTTAGGGAGACGAAGGGGTAGATCATGCACTTGTAGTACATAACATTAGTGTTAAAAAGAAATGTCATAAGCCACCCTACAAAATAATAAAAAAAAGTGAAGTTTTCCGTCATTTAAGACTTTATTTTACATTTAAGACCTATACATATTTTTGAATACAAATTAATTATTTTTTTTGTCAATCTTTGTTTTTATTGAGGCATATGATGAGACATTACAGTAAATAAAGCAAGGAGTTAATGCATGAAAAATTAAACATATGTTGAGCATAACAGAAAGCAACAATATTGCATGAACTTCCAGTTAGAACGGCCTCTTTTTTGTTTTTCTGTATGTATGTAGGCACATTTTTATATTAGTTAGCGCTTGAGATTAATGAGAAAATGCACATGTTGTGTCTCTCACCAGATATACCCAACAGAACAACCATGCTATTTACATTATGGCACAAGCTGGGTTAGTATAACTAATGCGAGGAGTCACATTGAAATCGACAGGCTTGTAAGATTATGTAAGAATGCGTATGCTGTGCCCCGCACCAGAAATACCTAATAAAATAGACGTGTTATTTACAGTATGTTGTAAGCTGGGTCTGCATCACTAATGTGAGGAGTAACTGTGGGGTCGACAGGCTTGTAAAATGATGTGATCATGCGTGTGTTGTGCTGTGCATCAGAGATGCATACTAAAAGAAGCATGCTATTGACGACATGGTGCAACGTGGATTAATACAATTTATGTGAGTAGGCACGCTTTACCCAGGTGAATACAGGCCCTGCCCGCCGAGCCTAGAGGTTTTCGTGGCTAGCATATTAGGTAATCAAAATAAGGCAACATACAAGAGTGTTTCAGCTGGCAGCTTTTAGGATTTTTGGGACAAGTCCTAGTTATGCGCCATAAAGTTCGCAAGGCAATAGCTAGTATGTCCGTTATTATCCCTTAATGTACTCATCGCACTCCGCAGTGTATGTTGTTGTGCCTCGGGGTGGATGCTGCTTGGTTCTTTGCCGGGTTACAGATTCGCACCAGTTCACCGAGGTAGCTGAGTCTTCCTAATGTCGTGGTGACACTGCGTCCGTGGGCCGCCTGTCTTCGGCCTGAGGCCTTAGTCGGTGCCCGTTCGCGATTGATCACGTCAACAGGATCGTGGTCCCTGGGTTCCGCCGGAGTGGTCCCTGGGGGTATGGCAGGCTGTGGAGGAGTTCCTCCTGGTGAGCACCCAGCTCAGATGAAGGGCGAGCGGTCTCATCAGCAGCGTTATCCACATGGGTGGAGGGTTACTAGCGCCATGCGCCCGATGTGTCCCCGGACTTGGGAGCTACTCTATGGTAAGGGTCGTTTGGTGTTTGTTGCTCTGTGTGTCGGGCCAGATGGTGTCTGTAGTCTGCTTTGGGCTCTGTGGTTCGGTTCCCGCGCACCTGGCCACCGCCATCTTAGCCTTGGGCATGCATGGTGGCTTGGTAGTGCCTCCGAGTGTGGCTTTGGGGCAAGAACCGGGATCACCCCCCCCCCGGTCCACAGGGGGGGGAAAATCAGGACCGGGTCTGCCGATGTTCCATGCGCTTGTCGGGCTCCGTTGGGCAGGATATTGGAGCGGCGGCCGTCCACTCCACTCACCGCCAGGCAGTATCCGAGGGACTAGAACTCCAGGAGCAAGCCTCTCCTCAGCTCCAGTAGCCCGTATATATCGAGGGTCATGGTTGTTGGTAACTTATTTCCACCAAAATCATGATTTATAAGCTTAATGGGTCATGTTTTGCAGGAGCTGATCCTTCCTGCGACAGCTCAGCTCGGCGGCCCGGCCCGCCCCTAAATTAATTATTTTAATGGTTGCTACTTTGTAGCATCTTGTGATTTATGCACAAATTGCACCAGGATCAAATTAATTTCATAAAATTGTGATTTTACAGTAACTGAACTGACTTGGAATGATAATAGTAATAATTAAAATTTTAAACATAAAATATATGTACAGAGAAATCACCATGGAGACCCAAGGACAGAAAGAACAGGATCTCTGCTTGCTCATAAGGGATCTCATACTCAAGGTTGTATTTTGGGGAGCAATAGGGGTTCTAAATTCACATGTAGAGTTCTTAACACTCCAAAAGCTGCCTAACAGGCAGGTGAGAACAATTCCCATGACAATTACCTGATAATCAGAGACGTGAGAGAATAATCTGTGTGTGTACATGTGTGCAGTATGCAGTGTTTTGGAGCCCCTATACTCGACCTTTTGTACTCACATTTGTTAGGCGATTGTCATTGTTATGACAGTAACCCATTTGTGACAGCAGTGTGAAATCCCACAGTGGAAAGAGTGTATTTATATGAGGTGTGATAGGATCGCTAAATAAACCATCTTCCTCTTTGAAAATGTATCCTCGGGACAGATAATTACCATTACACAGCCCTGGATGGCATCTTAATTAGTGTATTGGGGAGCGATCTCTGATAGAGCATAGGGGTTAGGCAATATTTTGTACTAGCTGACAGTACCAGTCAAGGGATACCACATTACTATTTTGTTCTGGACCCTTATGAAGTCTGAATTCTGTTGGGTAGGGCATGCATGTGCTGCTTGGAAATATGTGGAATTAAAAAATGGATAGGCAAAAATCAACAATCTAGTCATAGTCATTTCTTGAAATCCAATAATTGATTTCATCCAGCATTGATTTCATGTTTAGTTATACAAGCTCTCATGTTGCAATTTAAAGCTTGCCTTAGAGGATTCAGGATTCCTAAAATTTGACCTGGATGTGACAAGCACACCCCAGTCCACTGCTTTAAGATTCTTTAAATAAACTGTGACTTTAATATCCCATCATCCTAAAACTCATTTGGATCTGGCATGGTGGACTTGTTATGGTCCCTGTAGCTTTTCGGCCTAGGAGTCAGGTTGGCTGTCTGTATGCGTCAGCCTGCTCTGCCAACAGCCATCAACAACATATACAGACAGATACAAGTCAGTCGATAACCACAACTAATTTCTACATGTATAGGGCAATGAGTTCATACAGGAATAAGAGCCAGCATTTGTTAACCTTTTGGGTACCAGAGGATGTTACTTTGCACAGAGCAGAATAGCTGAATTTAAAAAATGCTAAGCTGGAGAATCATCTTCAATTTAGCATTTTGACTCTACCTAACCAAAACCAAACCTCACAACTCAGTCTCTATTTTAGCACGACAGTCCTTATTTTAGGGTCTCTATTTGGTCCATGGTGTCCCTCATCCGGGGACACCAGGAAACTGTGTCCCAGCACTGCCAGCAGCACTCTGTGAGCGCATCATTAGATACATACAGCACTTTTATATTTACCGCCTACACAGCAGTAATCGTAGAGTATGTTTTGGTAGGGTGACTCAACAGGGCCGGTGCAAGGATTTTGGGGTACTTAGGCGAAGATGCATTTTTCCGTCACCCACCTAGAGCAGGTGCATCCATAAGGCATAAGGTATAGGGCCAAACAGGACAAGGGCCCTGGTTCTTTTTGTAATGGCACAAAATGAGCTAAAACCAGCTTGAAATCTGAGCAGGGACCCACCGAAGGGCAGGCTATTTGAGCTGTTTGTCCATTCTCAGTACTCTCTTGCCCCTTGTTTTTTTCTCTCCTTAAGTTTAGAGGGTAATCCAGATGTAGACACCTTGCTCACGGTGCCTAGAAGGGTATCGGCTATACCTTACTGACGATACCTAACAAGGTAGAAATGATTGTGTGGGGTTGCTGTATCTCTCGTACAGAGAGAGGCATCCTGCATTTTGTATCGGTTTCACCCTTCTGGTGGGATCATTCGATATGCAAATGGTCTGGTTATTTTTGTAATGGCACAAGATGAGCTAAAACCAGCTTGAGATCTGAGTGGGGACCCACCAAAAGGCTGTTGTCCATTCTCAGTATTCTCAGTATTCTCAGTATTCTCTTGCGCCTGGTTTTATAGATCTTGTGATCTGTCTAAACCCGGGCCGTATGTGGCGGCCTATCCTGCTTAACTGATAATCCAGCACTTGGTGCTGTAAATGCTAATAATAATTCCATGATAATTTCCTTTTATATACGTGGTGTAGCTTCTATACATCAAATGTCATTGTGGGAACCTACATGCATCACAGTTAGAACCAATTTTAGCTGCAATGCTTTCCTGACCTTATACAAAATATGTAAAAATAATTATATTGTTATGCTGTTCTACAATAACATTAGAAAACAAATGTCCACAATCCCTTTTTTTAAAAATGGATTATGTCAGTATAGAATGCCTATCAGCATTGTTAAAATGAAAGCTTGCCACTCACTGGGATGCAGGATGTTGGAGGTTACCTTCTAAAAGGTTAACCTGTGTGTAAAGGTCACTCCTTGGAGCGCTCCGATCATCCTTATTTAGTAACCGTTGGGAATGTTGATCCCAGCACTATTCCTGTAATGTGCATTTGATACATCTCGCAGATGCGGCTTGGCCTTAGACCTCAGGATGGCATTGAGACTCCTGGTGTGAGATAATGGGGTAAGAACATGATGAAACAGCTACAGTGTATACAATCACTTAACGATCTGTGTAGCCAGGGTATGCTCAGCAATAAGGAGACCGCAGCCTAGAAAAAAAGCAGGGATGAAAAGTTTGAGGGCTTTTTTTGTGCCTGTTTAGCTAGCTAAAGGTTATTAGGCCAGTGACATTTAGCATAGAAAACCTTCCCTGTTCTCAGCAGAGTCAGCAGATTAGGTTCCTTCTGCCTGTGTGTTGGTGGAAGAGGAGGGGGGGGGGGGAACCACAGTCATTGAAAAGGTCAGAGTCTGCTTGCACAGGCCATGATACTCAGCTGATGTGCTGTAAATGGTGCAATCCCTGAGTAGACACCTCTGAATTCATTCTGCTTTTTAATTCATGAAAATCCTATGCAACTTGCACAAAAAAAAAAAAAAAATTACTAGTCAATGATAAAAAAAAAAATACATATTAATATACTGTATGTAAATTTTAATTTCTCTCAACTCTTTATATACAATGCACTTTGTTATGCTTTTTTGCCCCAGTGTATTTAATTTGTTGTTAAACAAATTCAACCTCATGGCTCTTCTTGACATATTCATTATGGCTGCCATCTTCCACATCTTACAGGGTTGAACCACCGTGGAAGGCCCGGTTCTCCAGGAGCTTTCCATGCGGCCGCACTGTATGCAACATCACGGACACACGATTCCCACCACTTGAAAGACACGCAACGTACATCTGCACCTTAGCATTTACAGCAGTGGTTCAATTCAGTTACTTTGGTCTAAAATTTAATATTCTGTAGTAAAATCCTGACAATTTCCAGCTTAGTAAATAGCCATGGGTGTTGTAAAGCACAATATAAGAACCAACCTTATATATAATAAAATACAGTATAACCTAATGCTCCTATATTTTTCACTAGAAGGCTTATTATATATATACTTAAGTATATATGATATACTTATTATAAATATTACGTTATAAAATGTGATGTTTATTTAATTTCACATCTATAAAACAATAGCAGGTTGCGTTTTTTAATTTTTTATTTTAATGCTTTTATGGAATTATTATTTTGGCCAAGAGTACTGGCCAATAGGAAAAATGGTCTGGTAATACAAAATGGCGGATGTCAACTATGCCCTAGGCATTCTGTGTGCTCGTATATCATGGCTTTGTAACAAGGTACAGTGAGCACACTGCTTTAGGCATAGAATGTCATGCCGACTATTTACAATACAGCTACATTCTGTGTGTGTGGAGTCAATGTTACTATTGATTGGCCTGTGACAGATTTAAGTTTATTTTAAGCCCTAGCAACAGTGCTTAGTCAGCTTTCACAGCGTCCTGCCTACACTTAATTTATTTTTCAGAATGTATTCTATAATTCCACAAGCCCTAATTCCCAGATACATCCCAGACATTTCAGTCGTTTGAATGAACTCACAGGAGGTGATCATTTGGTAGAAACAATACTCCCGCAGTGTTATATTACAACTTAAGTCCAACTCAATCACAACAAAATGTATGGAATACAAAAGTATCGCACCAGGCATCCGTCAATGATATATACAACACAATTGCAGGTTTTACTGCAAATCCCACACGCCAGCACCTTAACACACACAGAGCCAGGAGAACTAAGAGGATCACCCACTCATTTATTACTACATTTAAGAAAGAGAAAGATTACTTTTCTTCTCAGTGTCCTGCAGTGGGGACTTTGAAAGACGTGACACTTAACTATCAGTTTACGGGACGAGCAGCTGAGATATAAACGCACAATAAAAATACTATTATAACTGTCAAAATCACCTCAACGAAGAAAAATTGAAATGTATAGAAGGGAATCTTTACTTTAGAGTTATTATTAACTATAACACTTACCGGTGTGTAGAATTATGGGAACACTGTCATGTCCAAAATCGTATTTAAGCAGTACAGTGGACTTTTAACACGCTGTCAAAAAATGACACTTATTAAAGTAAAAAAACATAAGCAGGAATATTCACTTAAAGGAACACTTTAGTGTTAGGACTACAAACCCCAGTTTGATTCAGACCCACTCCCACTTTCCCATGTAAAAATGCTCCCAGACTGGTGCTGTCTGCAGTAAAGACTACAATGACTTTAGTGGTCCTTTAAGTGTGAATTGTCAGGAATTGAATGCCAAATTCAAAATTAAGACCAAAGTAGCTGAACTGGAAAACTTTTACCAGTCAGCTATGTCTAGCAAGTCTCGCTAATTTGGCCTACAATTTAAAATTAACTTTGAATTCTCAACAACTAACTCTTTAGCAAATAACCCTGTAGATAATTTACACAACTGGAAACACTATCACAACAAAAACGAACAGCTTGAAAAGTTAGACACCTTATAGAGATTCACCCATCATTCCTGCTCAATCCAGATTTTCTTCTTTTTTTTTTTTTTAAAGAATTTATCAGTGGACGGTGCTAGATGAGCAAATGATTGGACTGGTATTCTACCAAGTCTCCTAAATTAACTAGTTTATTTAATTGAGCTCACTCATATATCTGTAGTGTGAAATACATCTAGCTTTATACTCCTAACCTGTCTTACTATCCTATATTATATTAATATATATTTTTACAAATAAAGTATTGCCTTTACTTTAGTAGGAAGTAGGAACCAATAAATTGTATTATTTTGGATCCAAGTCTATTTATTTTCTCTATTTTTTGCACAGGTGTTGCTTTGCACCTACCACATAGGTGGTGTCTGGGAGGCCTCTAGTATTCTTCGCTAATAAACCCTAAACACGTTTTTTGGTTTTTTGACAATTCCTTGGTTAGGGGTTAGCATCAGTCAAAGAGACTGCAAAACATTTTCTAATTAATATTTCACAGATCTATATATAAACACAAATACAATAATTCACATTAGGGGCATTTTTATTATTTATATATAAATACATGTTTTTGTTTACAAGAAAGCTTTTTAAATTATAAAATGTATGGTTTCATGACTTACACTACAGAGGTGATTTTTGTTTTTCTCTGCTAAGTTTAAAACAAAACCTTTGGTATATCCCACTGGAACAAGGATAGCTCATACAATGACGTTGTGACGTTGTAAGATACAGCAGAAACAGAAATACATCTATCCACCAAGGAGGAACAATGATCTTTTAGACTGAATTTGTGCCATCGAAATACTCCGCAAACCTCATTCTTAATACTAATTCACTACCTCTATGAGAGGACAAGGTGCAGCAGGCCTCTACGGGGAGTGCCCCCTGCCCTTTGTGTGGAGAGGACAGAGGTTATAACTCCATAATAAAAAAAAAAAACATACCGGTATCTTATCAGAAAGAAAGTGTAATCTCTCTAAAAACAAATACCGTAATGAGGGGTTAAAGTATATCGCTCCACACAGCAGTCTGTCCTGCTAAGACAACTCTGGCAAAGGTTACTGGGTTAAAGCACTATATATCTAATCTTTGCAATTAAAAGTGGTGTTTATTACAATCATGTTTTGACATCTAACATACACTAATTGCCATATGCATGTTTATTTATTTATCTATATACTGTGATAAAATGTGTTAAAATAGCTGCATGTGAACCCAACACCTGAATATTGTATGCAAAACAAGATGCAATCTATCTTTGAGACACTATGCAGGGACTAAATAATGCCACAAATGGTGGGACCAAGTGGATATAAAGAGTGTTTCTTTCTTGAAATGTACATCCACGTGCCATTCTTCCAGTACCGCATTTTATAGATTGTTTGCAAATGGTCTGCGTACATTCTAAAACTGTAAAACATAGTAGAAATGGTAGATGTCCTCTACTTCAATGTTAAAAAAAAAATAAAAAGGACCAGAATACGGTTGATGGTTGGCGGTCTGTTTAGATGTGCTCTGGGTGATTCTGAAGACATGTGATAAACTCTGTGACTGGCTTTCCCTCATAGCATATCTGATATACTGCAGTAAAGAGTGGGAACCTGGAAGAGAAATTAAAAAAAAAAAATTAAATAATGTTACCATAAATAGAAAGATTTCATATTAATGTTTTTTTTTCCCCCCCACAAAAAAAAAATTGTATAGAATTGCAAAATTCATATTCAAAATGGCCAAGGTGTTGAAGAATGATTATTCATGCATTTTGGCCTATAGCTTGTGTTTTGGTTTCCAATTTGTTGTTTAAAAGAATACACCAAACACCATATCCAATGCATCGTGCTGTAGCAGTTATGGTACCATTCCCTAGCAGTTCGACTTCTTACCTAGGATTTGCTGGGCACCACTTCCCACCTAATGGAAGCTGCTGCATAGGACCTTTAGCTCACCTGAACTAAACCCTGGAGTGTAAGGACTGCTCACTTGGCTGAAATCGCTGTCAGCCAGTGAGCTATGTCCTGCACTGCCAGTCTTAGCTAAGAGCTTTGAGATTCTGGCTGAGTTGAGGCAGGGATAGGATGCAAACCATTACTAAATGATATTAATTCTTATATTGGGGAGATGGGGAGGGGGCAATCCTGGCACCATAAACACTACATTTTGCAGTGGTAGGGTGCTTGGAGTATCCCTTAAATAAATTCCCATATTATTGCAGTATTGGAGATTTGTAAAAAGAGCATCTCTAGCAAAGTCTTAAAGCAGGAGCAATTTGCAGTTACATTCCATGGGTTTCCATGGTGATTGCTTCAATTAGAACCGAGCTGTGTAAATGATATTCCTGGCCTCTTCAAATTACGGCAATGAGGGATTATTCACTATAATATAAAAGATAAACAGTTTGACATCTCTAAGTGAATGATTTAAAAATCATTCCCCCTCGTTTACGGCTTAGCTACTACATTCACGGTTTGTGAAAGTGCAAGGTCTCCATTTCATAAATGTAAATTAATACACTCAATATGCACACAAGGTCATAAATACCGTACAGAAATGGTAGCTCTAGGGCAAAATGTATTGCTATCAGGGCGTCCATTAGGGATGTATTTAATTATATGAGATAAGCATATACCTTGTAATTGGAAAGCAATTTCCCATAGATTTACGCAAGAGAAATACAATTTAATTATAAGAGATAAGATTATCTCATGAAACTGAATCTACCCCACAACATGGAAAATAAGGGTCTGCTCAAAATAATGGCCTCGGTTGGCATCCAAACAAGGTGTATGTGCATTAATAGTAATTCAGAGACTCAAAAAGTAAGGAATGAAAGGGTTACAACAACCAAAAAACTGTGTTTTCACAAAAGAGTAACCTGTACTAAGGTGCCGAACCCAAACCTTAAAAAAGAAACACTAAAACTCACCTCCATTCCATCACCCAGTCCTAGATTTCGCCTCAGACTGATGTCACACCCCCTTGACACGGGGGAATCAGGGAGTACGGGGTGGCATGAAGGGATGTCCGTGTCTCTAATGGCTGTCTGGCACCATCATGCTGTGTGTGCTGGTGTCCGACACCAATTTTGCACAGAATTTACATTAGCTAACCCACTTCCGGCAGCTAGTGGTTAAAGGGACACCGTAGGCACTGTATCTGCTTCATCTCATTAAACTGGTTATAGTGTATGGAGTCCCCTGGTACCATCATTTCTTTCAGCATTAAACAGTTTTTAAAGGACCACTATAGTGCCAGGAAAACATACTTGTTTTCCTGGCACTATAGTGCCCTGAGGGTGCCCCCACCCTCAGGGACCCCCTCCCGCCCGGCTCTGGAAGGGGGAAAGGGGTAAAAACTTACCTTTTTCCAGCGCTGGGCTGAGAGCTCTCCTCCTCCTCCCCTCCGCTCTTCCGCTGAATGGCGACGCCGCAAAGAGCTGGATTCAGATAGAAAGCATTTACAATGCTTTTAGACGCTAAAGGCTCTCCCGAAATCACAGTGAGAAGCATAGTGCTAAAAATGAGACAGCCACTAGAGGATTAGTAGGTTAACCTATTCAAACATAGTTTCTCGAAACTGCTATGTTTATGAAAAAATGGGTTAACCCTAGAAGGACCAGGCACCCAGACCACTTCATTAAGCTGAAGTGGTCTGGGTGCCTAGAGTGGTCCTTTAATGTTGTAATGCTAAACAAGAGTCCACAGCAGTCTATCCCGTCTGTGCTGCTTTGGCTAATAAGGAAGTATTAGCCTGGGCAGCTGTGATTGGCTGAGAGTGTCAGCTGACTGCTTTTAACCTGTCAGAGCTCCAACTGACGGAATGAATGGGTATGACAACAAGGAAGTGTGTAATCTCTGCCTTAGCTACACATACTGAAGGGGCCGGACTGTGGGTGGCCAGGGACTCTTATTTTGTGGCATACTGCACAAACATGGTGCAACACTGAATGGAGGGACAGTGTCAGGGCACTCCAGGCACTATAACCAATTCAAAGAGACAAAGTGGTTATAGTGAATACAGTGTCCCTTTAAGCTTTATACGCTGCACATGCAGACTCCAGGCACCAGGATCACTTAAAAACATTGAAGTGGTCATGGAGATTGAAGTAAACCTTTAACATAGTTTTCAAATATCAGATCCACCAGATTTCCTAGTTCCTCTATATGCTGATGAGCAACACATGAAAAGTTCTGCCCTGTTATATGTAGTCTTACCGTGTCAGGATAGACATCTTTGTAAGTCAAAAAAGAATCCAAACGTTACAGCCTAGATTAGTTTATTGATTTTCCTTCCGCATCCACCATGTAATCCTAGACACACATCATTTCTCTACGGCAGTATTCATATGTTGCTGATTGGTTAATCATTTAATTTCCTACCTGTAGCACATAAATTCTACAAACAACAAACATTTCTTATAACCAATATCTATTAATATGTAAAGCTGTTGTGTTTAAGAAAACTAACAGGGTTTTCACTAAAATCAGAATGGTTGGGAATTCAAAGTGAATTTCCAATGTGATGCCAAAATAGCTAAACTGGAAGCATAGCAGACTTAACAAATTCTCCATTCCAACAGCATTGGAATGCTACATACTACAGGACAGTACATGTCATGCCCATCTGGACGAAGATATGACATCTGTGTAGGAAAGCAAATTGGACGTGACAAGCCTTTATAGATGCATCAATATGCCTTGCTACTGGTAGCTACCAGATTTATATATACACCTGTATATACATAGAAACCAAAGAGAGTAATGGAATTTCTTCATTATTATTGCCATTTATATAGCGCCAACAGATTCCGTAGCGCTTTACAATATTATGAGATGGGGAATTTAACTATAAATAGGACAAATACAAAAAAACAAAACAAAACGATAAGTTGAAGACGACCCTGCTCATTTGAGCTTACAGTCTATGGTGTTAAACACCAAGATACTATTTTATCAAGAGCGCAATAAGGCAGATCCTCTAAATCAGGCTTCCCCAAACTCCGGCCCTCCAGATGTTGCTGAACTACAACTCCCATGATTCTATGAATGAAATAGATAGGCTGAGAATCATGGGAGTTGTAGTTCAGCAACATCTGGAGGGCAGGAGTTTGGCGAAGCCTGCTCTAAATCAAGCATCAAGGCTTCTATACTTACACAATGTCAATAGCATACATACAGACAGACTGACCTAAGACAGCACAGAGACACAGCCTGAAACAGCGCAGCCTGTCAGAATTAGTTTGAACACCACACGGTGACAGATCATGAGACAGATTCATTTATAACGCTATATACCGGCAAAGGCAGACTCGGTCACAAAAATACTCTGAAGGGCAAAATAGCAGCGATATAAAGAGAGTCAGTTTGATAGATTTTACAGCATTGAATTAACACCCACAATAGCCTTAAGTCTTGTCTCAGAAAGTCATGTAGCAGTTCTTCCTGCTGTTACTAGATTTAGCACCAGTTGGCAATGAGCAGTGCCTCTCTGGGAGGGAAGTGAAGGCACTGCTGAGGATGAAGGATGCCTGGCGACAGCTGCTAATTTAATAAGCCTCTAGGACGTTCTAATAATCGTGTTATTTAGTCAGTCTAGGTCAGGGTCTAATAATTGTGAGAGTTGTTCTGAAGTCACAGAAATAGCATACAGGTAGATAGACCTGTATTCTCCAATTATTGCCAAGTGGCCTAAGCTGAGTAAATTCAGGGAGCTATTAGAAGTATGGTTTAACACATTACTCCTTCACAGTAGAACTGATTAAAAAAAAGTCTTCTGATGCAATGAAAAATGTTAAATTAAAGGTACAGTTGCTTATAACATTTTGCAAAAGAAACATGCAGCTAAAAGCCCAATTAAAGGGTTAATGCCGGCACCATGATCACTTCAATGGTTTGAAATTTTCATGGTGCCAGGAGTGTGTATGTGTAGCGTTTCGGAGTCACTCAACCTCTAGCTGCATCATGGGGAATCATCAGTCAATACATCAAACGAGAGTTCCAGGCTGGCAACCAGCAAGACCAGGTAAGAGGGCAAACTGTTGCAAATAATTTTAATTTTACCACATTAGCAGGGAACGACGGCTGGGCACTCCCACCAGGATAAACACTGCTGCAGGCTGCAATGGTTTTGGTGGTTTGAGTAAGAGTAACCCTTTAATCAAACAGTTAAGTTTAGTTTTAGTTTACCATATGCTAGGGTTATTTTGTGCTGAAAATAAGTTATATGTATAAGAATGCTATTAAAGCATTCAAGAGAGGCAATATAAAGCATTGCAGATAGTTGCAGTGGACTACCACTCGCCAGACAAAACTTGCCACAAACCTTGGCGAGCAGCATGTTAGTTCACAGAAGCTGAAATAACAGACACAGTCTATCCCTGGCACTGCACACTAACAAATAATTATATAGCCAAGAGACAATGCATGGAATGGATTATACCTGGCTATCCACATTAAACCAATGACTGAATCCTTGACCTTATTTGAATTCCATTTAAATATGAAATCTCTCTATATTCTGATAAAGCTATTTAGGCATGTATGAAAGTAGCCCATGTAAAAAAGAATCTTGACAATGCCAAGTGCCAAGTTCTTCAGCACAATAGTGTAACAACAGATCTTACTGTGCTTATTCATTCTGAAATCACGTGTTAACATACCGAGTCAGAAAACTGCTAATCCCTTTACATTACCGGTCAGACCGGTCACTGGGTCAGCAGTCAAGGGTTACAAGGGTTAGTGCTGCACTTGCACTGTACACAGTAATTCATGCTGCCGGCTTTTCTCTCCCTAACTGTATTGAGTTGCGGAGCTGATATTTATTCCTGATGTCTGCTTTAACAAATTAACCATCTCTCTGCTTCCAGATATATAAATATTATTATAGTTATTATTGGCATTTATACAGCGGCAACATATTCCGCAGCGCTGGACAAATGTTAACATACAGGTATATATGTGTAATGCTTGCATCCATGTTTTGTTAGAGGTATAACAGACGTGTACAGGCTCGGAGAGAGCCATTAGGCATGCTCATTACTGGTATTCTCCTTCCTTACTACATAGAAGGCCGGCCACTATATCCCTGCATCTGCTGACATGGAAACCCCATTTAGCAGCAAATAGAAGTAGGGTTGTCAGATCTACCATATTTACCTAGATATATAGAACTTCTTCATGCTGATGGTTAGCACCACAAAAGTGCTGCACTATATGCATTATTCAGATGCAGGAAGGGGGGGGGGGGAGAAGAAGCCACATAATTTAATATCCCTTTCTCATTAATTAATTTGATCTGCATTCTACATATTTCCAGGGTAGCACTTTTCATGTCATGCACACTATCATATATTCAGGGTTGTGGAATTTATATTGCCCGACACATGCAGTTCCAGGCGCCAGACAGGAATATTTTTTTTTTTTTTTAATTCTTTTAGCCCTGCCACAGGACTGAGGGAAGGGTTGGTGCCGGGCAGGGAGTGCATCTCTGGCAGGAGGACAGTCGGACTGGCACACCCAGGACGCTGCAGCTCACTGGTGGTTTACAGGCAAGTGCCAGTCGCTCCTCACAATGCCTAGGACATGACATCATATCCTGGCGACCAAGACGCTGTTAGTGGGCAGAGACAGCGTGGGACAAGCTGCACTAGCATTGAAAATCATCCATGTGAAAGTTCAGAGCTCAGCAAAGAACCCCATCAATGTCCAGGGATATTGGCAGCGGGCCCAATCTTTTTTTTTTTGTTTCAAACTGCTTTTATTTGTGTCATCGAAAATGTACAACAGTACGATAGGATGGCAAAATAGGAGACACGCATGTCTCGCAAAATTGGGAGCAGCCATATGATTATAAAGGAATGAGAACCGAAACAATATTAACAATTAGAAGGTAGTATAGTATCAGTATCGGTAACTTCGTTATGTTACATATATTAAATATACAAACATTTGCATCTTATGGTCGTACATTAAGGGGTGAGTGTGTCACCTCTGGGTGAGCCAGGTAGTGACTGTGTAGTGCATGGGCAAGATTCGCCTGTCATCATAGTGGTTGCATATAGCCTAGGAGTATCTTCTAGCTGGATAGGGGCCATTAAACGTCTGTGGTATAGCTAACATGAAGGTTTAGTTCGTAGATGGGACTCGTCATCCCATATAATATTGATAAATAGTGGGTTTCCATTGGGTCTTATTGCCTTTGGCCGCGGGGCCCAATCTTTTTAACTGAAATTGTTTTGTGCCAAGACATGTAGATTGGGCTACCAGTTCAGTCCCTTGGACAAGTATATTAAAAAAAAGAAAAAAAAAGAAAATCACACCCGCTAAGTTATTTGTGCCCAAGAAAACATGGTGGTTACGGCAACCTTAGATGGCAAGAGGAATATACAGCTACTGTGTGTGAGTGACTGGGTCATCTTGGGGGTAATAATGAGCAGGCAGAGAGATAAATACATTGGATGACAAGTGCAGAAAAGCAGGGCTGGCTTTGTTTATATGAGAATAGATGGATGAATCAAGGAGAAATAATGAGGGATAGCAGAATAATGGGGGAGCAGAGGGTAGGTGCTGACATAAATCTAAGTTTGAAATGGAACGTCTATTTTCTCGATCTAATACTATATAATGTTTTTTTTCTCCATTTTGTAACAAAATAACATCTTTTAGAATGTCCAGTATTGACACAAAGGTGAAATGCTGTTCATACTATGCAATATTAGGCAGTTTTAACAACACTTACTTCTCCACCATATTCTTGCCTTTGAGGATGTGATTTAGCTCTGCTGAAGTCTGTGGTCCCTGAAGTTTTTGTCCGTTAAGCATTTCTTTCTCCAGCTGTTCTATGGACTAAAAGAAGAAGCGTTTATTTATACTTTCACAATGACAATATCCAAATTGCTAAATCGCTAATCTGAATTATGGCAATTTGCAAGCTTAAAGGACCACTATAGGCTCCCAGACCACTTCAGCTTAATGAAGTGGTCTGGGTGCCGGGTCCAGCTAGGGTTAACCATTTTTTCTATAAACATAGCCGTTTCAAAGAAACGGCTATGTTTATAAATGAGTTAATCCAGCCTCTAGTGGCTGTCTCATTGACAGCCGCCAGAGGGCTTCTGCGCTTCTCACTGTGATTTTCACAGTGAGAAGACGCCAGCGTCCACAGGAAAGCATTGTGAATGCTTTCCTATGGACTGGCTGAATGCGTGCGCACCTCATGCCGTGCATGCGCATTCAGCCGAAGAGGAGGAGAAGAGAGGAGGAGGAGAGCTCCCCGCCCGGCGCTGGAGAAAGAGGTAAGTTTAACCCCTTCCTCTCCCCAGAGCCCAGCGGGAGGGGGTCCCTGAGGGTGGGGGCACTCAGGGCACTATAGGGCCAGGAAAACGAGTATGTTTTCCTGGCACTATAGTGGTCCTTTAAAGGCACACTTTAGGCATTGTAACAGCTTCATCTTATTGAAGTGGTTATAGTGTCTGGTTTATAGTGTATTAAACTGTATTAATGTTTTTTGGAAATTCAAAGAGTTACACATCCGCTCTGTGCTGCTTGGGCTAGTGAGGAAACAACAGCTGTGATTAGCCAGGTATTTCATACTATCACATCACCCAGTGCTGCTTTGAATAGGTATTGCTAGAAGGAAGTGTGCAATTAGACACACCTTCAGGGCCAGCCTGTGAGTGACCAGGGATCTTTATTTAGTGTTAAACCGTTTCAAAATGGTTTTGATTTTAATGCAGTGAACACATTAAGGCTGTAAAGATTTTTACTACTTGAATAACGTGTCAACAAAGCAGGTCCAGCGGGATATTCATGACTCCTGACCTAAGTTTACTTGACATCAGTGAAAGGTGCTCACTGTACTTGGTCAAGTTTTGGCAAACAATATGTTTTACATGCTCTTGTTATCTGGTACATGGTGCGTTAAGCCACCCCTCGAGACCAGTATCACCCAAGTAACATTCCATGATCACGATAACCTCCTAAAAGGTTGTTTGACTTACCTCAGCCTCGCTGAACAAACTAGAAATTATATTACTTCACATCATAGGCATCGCAAAAGGTGTGCAAGAACTGGTAGGTTTCATAACAAAACAGGAAAAGTGCAAAAATATTTACTGTGAATACACGTCAAGTATTTTGGGGGAAACCGAACCCCTTAGGGACCAATGACATGCTAGTCTGTTATCACAATCTGGAAGCCCGTATAGAGCCTTCCAGAGCATTGAGGGTCTGGATTATTTACCATGAGCCCAAGAAATACTAAATGATTTACATATTCCATGTCAGATAATGGTCTCTAAAACCAGACTGCAATGACACCCTAAACCAGAGGTGAACAACTCCCATGATGCTTTGCCAGCCTTAAGGCCAGGAAAGCATTGTGAGAATTTTAGTTCTACAAAAAAGATACGGTCTACCTTCTGACCATCCCTGGTCTAGATCTGTAGAATCTTATATATGAAATTTTGTTTGCATTAATGTAGTTATTTCCCATAATGCACTGGACAACACTAACAAGGCCAATGCATCTGCTCTGCTATTTCAGAAATCTGTCTGGTTAATTGAAAGAATACTCTAGGCACCATAACCAAGTCATATCATAAGTGGTTTCATAAGTGGTTATGGTGCCTGAAGTCCCGTGGTACCATTCTATGGTTCAATGCTAAACCATTTTAAAATGAATGGTTCTCGGATGCCTGCAGACTGCTCTTCAGTTGGATGAAGTGGTTGTGGTTCCTAGAGTTTCCCCTCAAGGAGATCTTTACAAGTATGAAGGTGAATCTGAGAAAAGAATGCTCCTTTATTTTGTAAAGCTCTTTCAACTTTCACCTACATTCTACTCGATAACATAAAATGATTTCACAACATTGTAAATGCACAGACGTCCCTGGGGAAAAGACCCGAGTTTATTACATAACAAGATTAGAATAGCAAAGTTCATATCAAACCATATGTCATAAATCTGGGGTTTTAATTATGTGTATATAGAATGGGAACATGGTAATTATACACTAATTAGTGAATTGGACTGAACTGAAAACCTAGTTGCAATATTTTGGCCAAAATAATTGATTTGTAAACATTCATTAAATTCAAACGCAGCCACAGCTCGACTATTTCAGTATGAATTTAACAATTTTAAATTCAAGTCCACACATAGTAATGCATACAAATTGAAATATTATATCTGCTCTCTAATCATGCTTGTATTTCATTTTCAGAATATAATCATGTTTGTGATTAATTCCCAAAGTGAATAACACTACAGAATACATTGATGCTTTGTAATGTACCACAGTAAGGTAAAGATGGAGCAATTTTGACAACAACAAAATCAAAATTAAAAATGTCATATTAAAAAATGGATCGAAAGCCTGACCCAAACGAGAATATAGAAGGTACAGATCAGGAGATAAGACTGAGATAATTTTTGAATAAGATAAATTTACCCCAAATCCCTAAAAATGCCTTAGAACGATTAGGGACCAAAATATCTTTAGAGGAAATTAAAGCGGCATGCTTTTCTATTAAGGGGGGTAAAGCACCAGGGCCAGATGGCTTTAGTAGTAGTTATTATAAAATATTTCAACACACTCTTATGCCATATTTACAAGAGGTCATAGATGAAATTTGTCAAAGCGGAGTTCTTCCAGCCGACCTTACAATGGCTAAAATTGTTCTTTTACCAAAAAAGATAAGGACCCTTCTTCAGTGGGAAATTATAGGCCTATATCATTAATAAATGTTGATATAAAAATAATAGCTAAAGTCCTTGCCCTGAGATTCTCTCCCCTACTTCCTTTTCTGATTCATCCAGATCAGGTAGGTTTCGTTCCAGGTAGACAGCTGTATGAGAATACACATAGAGCAGTTAATGTTGCTTGGGTTATGGCAGTAGGGAAGACACCATCAATACTTTTATCATTAGATGCAGAAAAGGCATTTGATAGGGTCGCCTGGCCTTATCTATTTTATTTGCTTCAATATTGGGGCTTTCCAGTCAATTGCATTACTATAATCCGTGCATTATATTCAAATCCCCAAACAACAATACAGCTCCCTGGCTCAGTTAATACTCCGTTTGGAATATACAATGGCACACGTCAAGGATTCCCTCTCTCTCCTATTTTGTTTGCACTTATATTGGAACCCCTTCTGATCCATATCAGGGGAAGTGGCAATATACAGGGTATTCAAATAGGGAGGGAGATTTATAAAACAGCGGCTTATGCTGATGATATTTTAATCTCTATAGCAAACCCTTCTGAATCTATCCCTGAATTGTTTAAGTTGATAGAACAATTTGGAGCCATTTCAGGCTATAAGGTAAATTATAATAAATCGTGTGGAGTGCCTTTTCATTTATCTGAGATAGAACAAGACCAGCTAAAAACTAAATTTGATATGAGTATAGATAAATCTCTAAGCTATTTGGGTATTAAAATTGGATACGATTATAATGCATTATTTAATGACAACTATGTACCTTTGATTAAAACTTTGAAAAAGGACCTAGAGAATTGGCATGATAAGCCAATTTCATGGATTGGCAGAATTCATTATATAAAAATGAATATTTTACCGAGGCTTTTATTTCTATTTCAAGCATTGCCTATAAAGGTCTGTAAAGAGGACTTATTGGGTATTCAGAAAGCTATAGACACATTTATTTGGCAGGGCAAGCGACATAGGATAGCTAGAACTCTCTTGTATAGACCGAGAGTTAAAGGGGGACTAGGTCTCCCCAATTTAATTATTTATTATTATGCAGCCCAATTGGCTCAAATTGTTGGTTGGCAAGCAAATCAAGGGAAATACAGATGGGCGGATATGGAGGAAGATTTAATGACACCAGACTCGCCAGGGTTGTATATGTGGTTGAATAAGGTTTCAAGACCAGGGTTGAAACAAATATGCCTTTCTACGGCAAACTCCCTCCACATTTGGGATAAACGTAAGTTAAAACATGGTCTAACTAATTTCCCTTCACCCATGACCCCTGTTTTTCGGAATAGACAATTTATTCCTGGTATGGAAGAACACAATTTTCAAGGCTTAAAGGCAGGAGGAATCTATAGATATGTAGATCTTTGGTCAGAAGGAGAGGTAGTTTTATTTTCTAGTTTGTTGACCAGAGTAGAACTGAGGACAGGAGATTTTTTTCGTTATTTGCAGATTAGAGATTTTGCGTATTCAATGGAGGTAAAAACGGCAGTTAAATTCCCCTTCACTAATTTTGAAAAAATTTGCAAAATAGGTAGGTTAAAGGGAGGTCTTATCTCTGATTTGTATAATCAACTAAGTGAGGAACCTACGGTTTGGGCTCCATTAAAGTATATATCCTACTGGGAGGCAGATTTAGGTTCTTCTTTGGAAACTAAGGATTGGATAGATATCTGGGAAACAGCATCCAAAATATCGATTTGTGTAATCTCGCAGGAACAAATGTTTAAGATATTATTTAGGTGGCATGTGACCCCTGTTTTTCTGTACAAAATAGGTAAAAATCTGACGGATCTTTGTTGGAGGGGATGTGGTTTACAAGGGACATATTTACACATGTGGTGGGATTGCCCAAAGATTAAAAGCTATTGGGAGGAAATAAGGGAGCTAATTCAAGTGATAATACAGGGAAATATAGAACTCAATCCTTGGAAATTTTTGCTATCGAAATCAATAGCAGGTATACCCTGCCATTCACAGAAATTAATATTTGTAATTTTATTGGCCGCACGTAGATGTATAGCCGCTAGCTGGATAAATCTAGATATATGAGAGAGGTGGAATTAAAGATTCAAGAAAATTATATAATGGATGAATTATCATCTAGAGTAAGACATTCTTATTATATGTTTGGTAAGGTCTGGGAACCCTGGAAGGTTTATGCGAATAGGAAGGGTATAGGTAGATAGAGAGGCAGAGGGGGGGAGAGTGTATTAAATGTTTTTGTTTTTTTTGTGTGTGTGTGTAAAAATTTGTATTGATGAATAACTCAAAATGGTGATATTAGAGCTTAAATGCAATCTTTTAGGTAATATTGCTGTTAAATGCATGTTAAAGATTGTATAATGTATAATGAGTTCTTTTTTGTTGTTTTTAGTGTTAAATAAAGAAAGAATATTTAAAAAAAAAAAAAAAAAATGGATCGAAAGCCTGACCCAATACATCAGAAATAAATAAAATGAAATTAATCCTTACTTTTCCAGTCTTGGCAAAGGCTTCTCCAACTTTCCGGTTTCGGCCACCGTAGCAAGTAGTGATGAGGTCGGCTACACCGCAGCTCTCCAGAAACGTGGCGGATGTAACTGGCCCGGCACAAAACAGCTTGGTAAAGGCGATCATCTCCATTAAACCCAGGCGGATAACTGCGGCTTTTGTGTTATCACCAAAACCAAGTCCGTCACAAAAGCCAGCTCCAACAGCAACGATGTTCTAAAAAAACAATAATAATATGGTTAGTAGCTATTCTCGCAAGCCAAATTGTCCACTTACTAAGCAGTGAGCTGTTAAAAAATCAATGTGCAAAATTTACAATAAAGTAAAGTTCTTGGGGGAAAAAAATACCATTTAGCTGCTATGGATATTTTTTCACTCCGGTACATTTTTGGAAAATTTATATTGAGATGTTAACACAATATACGGTGTAAGTAAAGAAACAGTACAGTTGCATCTGACGTGCATCGTTCCACTAGATTATACAACAAAGTAATGACATGGAATTATATCACTTTACTCTCTTATTCGAAATAAAATGGATTACAATGGAAGAAGTGATTCATAGGAATATTATAGAACATACTTGAAGTGTAGAACTATTAAACAATCATTAAACAAACATTAAATGGAAGCGCAACCGATTCTGTTACAGAGAGAGACTCGAATTAGAATTAGGCCATTATGTGACAAGACTCCCAGCATAACAATGCACAGTCATAAAATAATTCTTAATATTGCATAAAAAAGCAAGGGTGACTAAACAAAAAATAATAAAAAAGTGGAGAGGGAAGAGATCAGGTGTAAGGTGGGTGTGGATGGTTTGCGTGGGGGGCATGACTTAACGGGACAAGTAGCAGCACAAGGTGGGTGAATGCTCAAAAAGAAAAAAAATTAACTGATTCACTTTTCACTACTATCAGTGATATTTTCAAAATGAATTGCCTGGAACCCTCAAACCAGCCAATTAGATTTCCTCTTATTTGAGAGATGCTGGCCTGTCTATGGAGGAAGCTGGTGACCCCATCCGATGTCAATGGGTGAGGGGGGGGGTGGAGTGGAGGGAAGGGAATGTGACAATTCCCTGATCCTCTATCGCTGGAAATTCAGGGCCCATCCGACCACAATGGCTGCCCAGTTGCTCTTTCCTGGCCAGTGGAGAGGTGTTAGGGGGGAACTAGAGACAAATTTCACTGTATTCTTATTATTTTAATACACCAACACACCAGTCAGGGAATGGGTTATTAAAGGACCACTATAGGCACCCAGACCACTTCAGCTTAATGAAATGGTCTGGGTGCCAGGTCCAGCTAGAGTTAACCCTTTTTTCTATAAACATAGCAGTTTCAGAGAAACTGCTATGTTTATATTAGGGTTAATCCAGCCTCTAGTGGCTGTCTTCCTGACAGCCACTAGAGGCGCTTGCGTGCTTCTCACGGTGAAAATCACAGTGAGAAGATGCAAGCGTCCATAGGAAAGCACTGTGAATGCTTTCCTATGAGACTGGATGAATGCGCGCACGGCTCTTGCCGCGCATGCAGCAAAGGAGGAGGAGAGTTCCCAGCCCAGCGCTGGAAAAAGAGGTAAGTTTAACCCCTTCCACCCCCTAGAGCGCGGCGGGAGGGGGACCCTGAGGGTGGGGGCGCCCTCAGGGCACTATAGTGCCAGGAAAACGAGTATGTTTTCCTGGCTCTATAGTGGTCCTTTAACAATCTAGCAGTTGCTGTGTATTAAACAGTTCACTGGATGTGTCGCCATACTAAGAATGTGGCGTTAAGAGAGGACGTTACTTTGCACTGCCAAGGGGGTTTTCAACTATTTGTCCACTGTTTGCATGTGCTGCCAGGCAGCAAATAGTCCAGATTTCACTAAATTTGCCCTAAAAAAAGCAGGTAAACCTATTCTGCAGATCATCTAGTAGAAATCTGGTACTTGTTATAAAGGTAAATTACTGATTTTAAACCAGACTACAGATTGTACTGAATGAACTGTACTCACTAGGTTGAAATAACGGAATTTTAACTGGATTTACCTTTAGCCAACATGAGAGTTGGAAATCCAATTGTAATTTGTTCCATACAAATTTATTTTTATTTTTTAAGGTTAGTGTTCCTTTAATGAAATAACTTGTACTTCTCCACCTACAGTAATAAACACAGGCCTGTTTATACCATCATGATAGTTGTCTGTAAGAGTCAACAGTAACTGTTTGTTTCTAATGCTCAGCCTACAGTATCTTGTGCATAATAAATGTGTTTTGCAGAATTCATTTGAAGCAAATCATCTGATGATACTTCTCTGTGAACGTAATTATTGCTTCATAATCACTTTGCAAACATAGCAAGGTACAGAAAGTACAATTTATGTGTGGCTTTCGGGACAATCAAATCTATTTTTACAGGCCTACATCAAATCCATTTAACCTGTGAAGCGAGTCACAAGCCTTAATTCAGTTAAATTTCTTTATAAATGCTTCAGAGGCTGCACAGCTGTGAATTTACTTCCTAAGCAGTGTTCAGATCTCTAACTGTATTGATTTTAGCAGAGAACTCTAAGAAATATAGCTTAGTAATATTTTATTTTGCAGACTATCGGTTGGCCTTTGGGGTCATTAATGTAATTCAGATAGCCGCTCGGACAACATGTGGGGAGATTTATCAAGGCTAAACGGGTGCTATTTTGGGGGATATGTGCTAAATGTTGAGAGAAAATCTGTACGTTTCCACGGTGATTGCTCCTTGTTTACCACTTTGCCCCAGGATAGGGGAAATAACTTTATATAGCATGTCACAGCTCTCTAATCAAACCATACTATGCAATATTTGATATTATAAGTATTTTTTTACCAGGAATGTTTGCTATTCTAACAGCAGAATTCTAAACACATATCGTTTTTTTATTTTCTCAATAAAACGTCCTACCTCAAGAGATATGGCTCTAGATGATCTGATTCTCTGCAAGAAAGTGTTCTAAGTAATCTCACAATATTTTGTAAGACAGCAAAGTAACTAAATGTGCACGTTAAAAAAAAAATCTTTAAATCTTTAATCTATTTAATTAAAGGATCACTATAGGCTCAGGAGCACAAACATGTATTCCTGACCCTATAGTGTTAGCCCCCCTGGGCCCCTCATGCCTCCCTAAATATAGAAATCTTACTGTATTCATGCCTGAAGCTGTAGATCTGTATGCTGTTTGACTCAGAAAAAACAAGCAGTCTGCTGACATTATAAGAAGTGGTATCCTGATCCAATCATAATGCTTCCCCATAGGATCGGCTGAGACTGACAAAGAGGCAGATCAGGGGCAGAGCCAGCGTGATTCAAACACAGCCCTGGCCAATCAGCATCTCCTCAGAGATGAATTGAATCAATGAATCTCTATGAGGAAAGTTCAGTGTTGGCATGCAGAGGAAGGAGATACTGAATGTTTGGATGCATTTTAGGCAGACATGACCAAGGAAGGATCTCTAAACGCCATCTGAGGAGTGGCCAGTGAAGTGATCACTAGGCTGTAATGTAAACACTGCATTTTCTCTGAAAAGACAGTGTTTACAGCAAAAAGCCTGGAGGTAATGATTCTACTCACCAGAACAAATTCAATAAGCTGTAGTTGTTCTGGTGACTATAGTGTCCCTTTAATGTCTCATAACATTTTAAAATGTAACAATGAAATCTGCAAATTAGTCTGCAAACACTGAATTTAGGTAGAAAATATACTAAGAAAAAAGGGATTAGAAAGTATAACTTGTGTAGCATTTGATGAAAATATGACCTTAAAGGAACACTATAGGGTCAGGAACACAACCATGTATTCCTGACCCTATAGTGTTAAAACCACTATAATCTAGCCCCCTTTACCCCTCCTTGCCCACCTAAATATAGTACATATATACTTTTGTTCAAGTCTGCAGCTGCTGCCTCTGCCCCTGATCTGCCTGTTTGGCGGACATCATCAGAAGTGATTATCTGACCCAATCATAATGCTTTAACATAGGACTGGCTGAGACTGTCAAGGAGGCAGATCAGGGGCAAAGCCATAACAAGCCAAACACAGCCCTGGCCAATCAGCATCTGCTCATAGAGATGCATTGAATCAACGCATCTCTATGAGAAAAGTTCAGTGTCTCGATGCAAAGGGTGGAGACACTTAATGGCAGGACTGCCTCAGGAAGCACCTCTAGCAGCCATCTGAGGAGTGGCCAGTGGAGGTATCCCTAGGCTGCAATGTAAACACTGCATTTTCTCTGTAAAGACAGCGTTTACTGCAAAAACCCTGAAGGGACTGATTATACTCAGCAGAATAAATATAATAAGCAGTAGTTGTTCTGGTGACTATATTGTCCCTTTAAAACAGTTAAAATCAGAAACAAACAAACCCAGATGACTATATCGATATTGGTAGGTTGAGGTTTGCATGTGTTAACCTATCTGTCACTGTCTATCTTAGCTGCACAGTATAGCACTGTGGAATGGTCAGGAAGTGGAACCAATCTGTGAAACCACTATTTCACACAGAGCCCATACAAGCAAAAGGGCAAAACTCAACCTTTTATTATCCAATTACAGATACTTCTAAGACTGTTGTGCATTTATCTTTATTACTACTATCATAAAACACATATCAGAATTTTATTGAAAACAACTTTTATTCACTACAAAACAAATATGCATCAAAATGATGTAGACTGTAACTCACATGTTTCTCAGCCAGACACTTTGCTTACAACCCTAACCAATCAATCAATGAGTGTATGTTAGGATGTTGGGTATAAGGCTGCACCTTAGGGAGCACCAGCTTCGGTGGGTGCAATGTCCAGGAGACAGATAGGAGGGGGCGCACAAAGCTCCCCCATCCCTACAGTTATTCTAGTGTAGCGTGGCAGCACATAATGTGGTAAAGTATCTATTTTTTCCAGTATTCCCACTGGAACAGAGTTAGGAAATATCTAAATCTTGGACAGTTTGTGTGCTTTGAGGACTGCGTTCGGAATGACTTCCTTAAACTAATGTGAGTTCCCATTTAAAACTGAGCCACTTTGAGTGACACTGTAATGATACTATATTCTTGCGGATGCATTGACTATTATAGCGTCACACTAATGACACGTGACATCCTTAATGGAAACCCTTACATAGTATCTTCAGTCAATATGGGCTTTATTTACCAACCAGTCAAATGAAAACTGTATTGTAAATAGCATTATGAAACAGATACATTGTCAGTCTATTTCTGTACACAAGCAATTCCATTATTTTATATTCAGGGTACCCCCTCCCCATCCTTGCAGAACACTATTAGAGTTATTTACTAAAGTGAAAATGTAGAGTGAATTTAAAATTTAAGGCCAAAGTAGCTGCATTGGAAGGATAGCTGATTTAGAGGAGTTTTACATATCTGCTACTATTACCTTGAATTTGAAATTCACTTTAATTTCACTTTCAGTTATCACTTTAGAAAATAACCCTAGATGTGAAATATTGTAACAACTTCCCCAGGGCTCATTTGTAACTCTAAGGATCACTATAGCACTAGGAATACAAAACTGTCTTCTTAACACTATAGTGTCCTTCTGCCCCTGCAACAATTCCCTCGGTGAATAAAGCGTTAAAAAACACAACAACTTTTTTTACTCTCCACCTCCTCCGACTTCGTGGTGATCCGGGAACCTAATGTACATGCGCGGAGAGCGTGCATTAGGGCTTCCACCTAGGAAAGCGTTAACTTAAAGCATTCCTTGGGGGATTTTAAGGACACCGGCTGTCCACACACTTTCATGTCATTTCACAGAGTTAAATTCCATGTGAATCGAGGAAGCGCCTCTAGTGGCTTTTAATTCTAAAATGTAAACATTGCAGTTTCTCTGAAACAGCAATGTTTTACATTGCAGGGTTAAAGGGACAGGGACACTACACCAAGACCACTTAAATGAAATTAAGTTGGGTGCCTATAGTGTCCCTTCAATGCCATCAGAGAATTAGTTAATTAGTTAACGCATGCAGTGTTAGTCTACAGACCAAGAGACCAATATAACTCCTAATCCTAAAAAAACCAAAAGGCACACACTTCTTGGTAACATGCAAAGTGAAGTAAACTGAAAACTAACAAATTGGTTAAACATTAACTCAGTATCAAAGCATCTCAATGCCAACAATAGCAGGATCACTTTTACATACCCTGAGCCAAAAACAACACATCACAGCTGAACTCTCATTAGGTCCAGGCACTGACTACTATGACACTAACGCAAGAATGGACTGCAACTCTCATCTGCCTGAACATGATGGGGGTTTTAGTCGATAGTGGTTGAAATTACTAAACAGTAGACTTGATACATATCAGCAAGCTGAAATATTGTCCTGTATAAAAACACAGACATTGATGACATTACGTTTTCCAAAAGCTTCAACACAACATATTATTTTGCAAGGAACAGCATTTACAAATGAAGGTATTACTGGATAGAGCCAGAATGACCCTATCCTTAGATAAACCGCAGCGGCAAAACACCTTGAGTAACAATCAGGATGAAACTGCAACAAAAGCAAGTTTGGTAATCTGAGAAGTCAAAATACACATTGCAATCAGCGGAATGTTCTGAGTCCATTTAGCCCTGCTCTCCCACTGTCCTGTGACTATGATTGGAGAAAGAAAGAATTCTCAACATCTATTGTCTGCGTGCTTCTCTCTGTCTCAAGGTGTGCAGGCAGCAGTCACGTATTGTTCTGGCCCATGTAAATAAATGGCACTAATAAAAAGGTGGCTATGGCTTAATGGCACAAACAGTAAAAGAATAATGAAATTACAAATGGCAACCTGAAACCCCAATGTACTGGCTTAACAGGATTGTAAGATAGACAAGTCAGGGGTCACAGAGACACATGTTGTTTGCCGGTGACCTGACACATGTAATATAGGTATGTCCTACGCTACTAGCCAGGTCTACTGCAAGCCTGGAGGGTGCATTAATGAATGAATTTAGAAAGAACACTCAGCCATAGTCATATGTGGATTGCTTGAAAAAGACACAGTCTAAACGTTGCTGATAAAAGGTGATTAATAGAGGGATATCAATCAAAAGTGTACATCGATAGATTAAACAGAAAGAAGTATGTCAATTACATGTACATTTATATTGAATACAGTATTTTTTTTCAAGTCTGCTGCAGTGGTTATGGTGTTAGAAGTACCCTTGTGCTACGCACCAGTGTTGGGGGAGCAGTGTGCCTCTTACCTGGTTCCCACCTAGACCTCTGCTAATTCCTGGTTACATGCATCTGGGTTCTGCAGAGCTGACGCTGGAAGCTGATCCCTCTATACATTCATTGGTTGAGAGCAATGCTATTTATAATACAGATTTTAAAAGTGGTCATGGTGCTTGGAGTAAGCCTTTAAGTAATGCTTTCCAAGGGAGTAGGTATATGTTAAAAAAAAAAACCTCACGGGGGGCGTGTCCTGGACGCGGACCGGAGCAGCCGCATGTAGCTCGAGCTCCGTGCCGCGACGGCTAAAAAGGAGCCATAAATAGCATAATATAGCCTCGGATCAGACCCTGATGCCGCCCGCCGCCACAATGTCCCAGCCAAAAAGTAAGAGGACCGGCGAGAGGGGAGAGAGGAGCAGCTTCTTTGCCTCCAGAGCAGGGCAGGGGAAGGCCTCAATCCAGGCAGAGCACTCACAAGATGGCGCTGGAGGGGAACTGGAAACAGAGACCCAGGCTGGTGAAAATGAAAATGACAGCCCACTGACCCACAGCACTCTGAAAAAACTGCTGGAGGAAATGTCAGATAAGATTGTGGGGAAAATGGACAGCGTTATCAAAGATCTCAGAAGGGAACTTCAAGATATAGGCCAACGTACTTCACATACAGAGGACCAACTCTCGGAGATGGCAGAGGCCCATAACTCCCTAGCAGACACGGTAGAGGGGCTGGTAACAAGACTGGATAACCAGGACCTCAAGATTGCGGATATGGAGGACCGGGCACGCCGCAACAACTTGCGAGTAAGGGGAGTCACGGAAGAGGTAAAAACAGAAGACCTCACCGCCCACATTACAGGCCTGCTGAAGGAACTGGCTCCAGACCTGCCACAGGACTTGTTCCTGTTAGACAGAATCCACAGAACCGCCAAACCAAAATTCCTACCAGCAGACACTCCAAGAGACATCCTGCTACGAATGCACTATTATCACGCTAAAGAAGCAATACTTAACGCTAGCAGGCGACGGAAAGACTGGCCTACGGCCTACAGAGGGGTTACCATATATGCGGACATCTCCTCATTCACCCTAAAGAGAAGGAGAGACTTCCGAGACATCACTACACAGCTCAGAGACAACCACATCCCGTACAGATGGGGTTACCCCACCAAGCTCCTGGTGTTGAGAGAGGGGAAGACCACTATCATCGGATCCCCGGAGGACGGCCAGCGAATCATGCAGGATTGGAACATAGAAATCACTCCACCGACGGACCAAGGGAGAAACCGAGCCAAGGCCTCACAAGACTGGAAGAAGGCGAAAAAGAGATAAAAGACAGAGACTGTGGGTGGGAGTGCTCTACAGCACCTTAAGAGCCCAAGACTACCTACCGAGAGGCAGGGTAATGTACGACACCACATCACACCCATAGGGTAACTTAAATGCTCCAGACTGAGCAAGGGGACAGGTGGAGGAATCTATACTATAGAACAGAGGGACCAAAAGAATCGAGAAAAATAGCCTATTAGCCCCCACCCAGACTAAAGGGCCGAACCACGTCAGCATAACTTACCTGCCAACTAAGAGGTGATCAGTCGTAGAGACACCCACACGCATTCTCTTAACATATACCTAAAATAGACACAAGGGAACGGGGCCAAAATAATGCTATTAACTCGGGAAAACACAAAAAAAAAACAAAAAAACAAAAAACTTAACAACACAAGCAACATGTTGGTACACACAACCAGTTTAATGTTCCTAGGCTATAGTTTACAGTTGGGACCTCCCAACGTGAAAAACAGAAATAGCCGCAGAGGGAGACAGCTCCCATTGGACAAGAGGTAATGAACCTCTTCCCCCAAGGCACGACCAGGCAGTGCCTAACCGATCTACCGGCACTAACAAGGGATACGTATGTTCATGTAAATACTTTTGTTAATGTTATTGTTTTATTGTATGTTGTTATATGCTATGTTTATACCCCACAAGCTTGGGGTTTTACCAACAAACAAAAGATAGGGTTAGTGGGTAACCCATCACAAACCGCCACGCGAATACCAGGGAGACCAACAACAGACAAGACCAAGGTCCCAGACTGTTCTACAAGCCCAATAGGGACAATGCCCATCACACGGGGAGCCACACTGCTCAGCTCGACAAAGCTAGGGAGAGCAGGGACCCCTCAAAATATAGATTGCAGCGCGAGAATTAATAAGCACCATTACCATAAACCACCGTGAAGATCTGCTCTCTTAATGTCAGGGGCCTCAACGCACCAGTCAAAAGACACCTACTTTTCAGGGAGGCTAGAGCCCTAGGGGCAGATATACTGTGCCTCCAGGAAACCCACTTTAAGCACAACGACCACCCACCTATTCTTACCGCCGATTTCCCACATCAATTCCACGCCACATCACCCACGAAAGCAAAGGGAGCATCCATCCTAATACACAAAACCGTCTCATTTGCACTACACTCAGCTGACATAGACCCGAATGGCCGCTACATTATACTCACGGGGCTGTTTAATGACATGTTATATACCGTCGCCAACATATACTCCCCGAATACAAACCAGAGGAATTTCTTGCATAAAATCTTGACCAAAATAGACCAAATCCAAAAGGGTATTACAGTAATAGGGGGAGACTTTAATCACATAATAGACCCACAACTAGACACAACTCTCCCACCACACAGGAAACACCATCGCCCCCTCAAGAGACAATGTAGAGCCATAGCGAAACTCCTGCATGACCACCATCTATATGATGCGTGGAGAACCACTCACCCGATAGAAAGGGCATACACCCACTACTCAGCGGTACATAATTCCTACTCTAAAATAGACGGCTTTTTAATCTCAGGGTCAGCATTAGACCAACTCCTTCATAGTGACATACAGCAAATCACATGGTCAGATCACGCACCAGTAACCATAGAGCTAAAAAATAATTACGATTTTAAACATCGCAGCCCGTGGAAAATAAATAATTCCCTACTGAGGGATGATGAATTTGTAGACTCCCTGAAGGGGAGCCTTCAAACATATTTCCAGAAAAATGACACAAATGATACCACAGACGCCACTCTTTGGCTCGCCCACAAGGCAGTAGCTCGAGGCCTATTAATACGTAGGGCGACATACATAAAAAAGACACGCCAAACACAACTTAGGACATGGCAAGCAGAACTGTATGAGATGAACAGACTAAACCAACACACCCCGTCTACAGAGACGAAAGCTAAGATAGCCCAGATCACGAAACTCATACACCAGCAGGCGTTAGCCACAGTGACCTCCAATATGCAAAGGCTCAAACTAACCCATTACGTACAGGGTAACAAAGCAAGCAGACTACTGGCACAGCGGCTAAAAACAAGACAGGCGGCTCAGAAAATATCTTACCTCACAGACGAAACAGGCACTAAAATCTCCACCCCTAAGGGAATAAGCGAAGTATTTGCAAAGTACTACTCATCACTATACAACATTCAGGAGGACGCGCAAACAAAACACCCGACACAACTTGGTATTGCGGAATATCTTGACGGGGTAAAATTACCCAAGCTCACACCCCAACAACAGTCGGCCCTTACTGAACCGATAGAAACCCAGGAGATTAGGGACTTAATTAAAAGCCTCCCATCGGGTAAATCCCCAGGACCAGATGGGTTTGACAACCAGTACTATAAGCAATTTAGCATAATACTGGCGCCCTACCTAGCCAGAATGTTTAAGGAGGCAGCCCGCAAGGGCGAACTCCCTAGAGAAACACTGGCCGCCCACATCGTCACACTCCCTAAACCGAACAAGGCCCCGACAATCCCGCAAAACTTTCGACCCATCTCCCTCCTCAATACAGATGCGAAGTTATTCGCCAAACTGTACGCAAACAGGTTGGGAAAAATACTACCACACATAATCCACAATGACCAAGTGGGCTTCATCAAGGGAAGACAGGGGGCAGACAATACCAGGAAGGTTATTAACATCCTCCACCACCTGAAAAATCAGCGACGGGGGGGACTGATGGTCTCCCTCGACGCCGAAAAAGCCTTTGACCGCCTCCACTGGGGGTTTCTTAGAGCAGTGCTGCACAAGTTCGAGATCCCCTTGGGGTTTGTGTCGGTGGTACAGGCCCTATATAGCAAGCCCTCAGCAAGAGTAATCAACGCAGGATTTCTGTCCGAACCGTTCCAACTCACGAATGGCACGAGGCAGGGTTGCCCCTTGTCCCCCCTGTTATATGTCCTAGCGCTGGAGCCGCTGGCGATCAAAATACGGGAAAACACTGCGATCCACGGTTTGGAGATAGGAGCTAGAGAATACAAAACAAATTTGTTCGCTGATGACATACTCCTCACACTTACACAACCGCACATATCACTACCAAATCTCCTACAGGAAATAGAAAGATATGGGGAGCAATCATACTACAAATTAAATGTCATGAAAACCCAAGCTATGGGGATAGGGATACCACATCACACCATAGAACACCTAAAACTCTCATTCCCATTAGACTGGAGAGAGGACCACCTCACGTTTCTGGGTCTACGGATTCCAAAGACCCCACAAGGTCTGTTGGACCTTAACTATGGCAAACTACAGGGGGAAATAGGCGACACACTGAAGAAATGGGAAGACAAATATATGTCATGGGTGGGGAGACTGGCGGCAGTGAAGATGATGCTCATACCAAAATTTCAATACTTAATTAGAACTCTACAGATCCCCCTACCAAACACATACTTGAGACGGCTGCAAAACACCATCACTAACTTCGTCTGGGCACACAAAAAAATACGTGTAGCCACGAAGATTCTCACTAGAACCCTAGCTCAGGGAGGGTTGGGTATGCCAGAGCTACAGAGGTACTACAGAGCAGCACTAATGACCACAGCCCTACAAGCACACACTGCCCAAAACCCACCACAATGGATAGAAATGGAATCAACCTGGACCTGTCCCAAAGGTCTTAAATACCTCCTCTGGGTACCACACAGGCTACGCCCACCGCTCCCAGAAATACCAGCCACCACTGATATCCTATTGAAAAACTGGGATAAATCTAAGCCAAAGCTCGGATATAACACCGACTGGGCGCTAGCCACTCCCATATATAGCATACATTTAGCATACCCTGCTTTTGACCACCGTACGTGGCTGACAAAAGGATGTACCCTAGTCCAACACCTGTACAGGCAGGGACAACTGAGACACTTCCCAGACCTACAAGTAGAGTACGACCTTCCACAAAGAATGATATTTTCTTACCTGCAACTAAAGGGAATATTAACACACGACACCTCCCTAAACATCCCGCAACATACACAGAGTGTAGATAGAGCGTGCATATCGATGACCATGCCTAAGAAACCACTTTCGCTACTATATACTCTGCTCAGTGACTCCAACCAACAATTACAGACAGACAATTTTAGAGACGCATGGCACAGAGACATAGGTACAATATTCCCAGATGACCAATGGACCCTGGCTTTTACGGCCCACAAAGGCAGATCCAGATGTGCATCGCACTTAGAGCTCATGCGCAAGATACAATACAGATGGTACCTGGTGCCAACGAGACTGGCGACCATTTACCCTAACTCCTCCAAATTATGCTGGAGATGCTTAGCAGGAGAGGGCACAATGTACCACATTTGGTGGACCTGCCCAAGGCTCAAGGAATACTGGAATATGGTGGAGGCAACAGTTAAGGGAGCGTTGAGAGTCGATACTAAGCTAAGACCAGAATGTGCCTTACTATTCATAACACTGGACTCCCACCCAAAACCACAAGCAAGCCTATTATTTCACATCTTGACAGCAGCAAACCTCCTGTTAGCCAGGAGATGGAAACAGACACAGACACCCACTAAGTCTGACCTGATAGAACAGACGTCACTTAACCTGACCTACGAAATAGGGACTAGTCAGCAGTTCCACCCAGCAAAACATATCATACAAGCCAAAGATGAGTGGGAAACCTACATAACAAAAACTGGGGAGGGGATATAGATAAGATTAAAATAGGCTGGACTTAGAGACACCAGACGGAGAGTGCAAGACGAGCAGGTCGACCACTAGAATAGAGGTCTAGAGCAGAAGACCCCCACAAAAGACCGAGATATCTGGGAATTGCCCAAACAATACACTAGCGCTAAGACGTCGCGGAATATAAACCCACAATGTACATAGTTCGAGGGGTAAAGACCCAAGCACCACGCTGCAAATAACAAATGAAGCATGACAAAGAAACAAGAGCAATACGTGTAGGGTGCCGGGTCCACACACCCTCCTCACCCCCTCTCCATACCCACCTCTCCTAACCTCCCCCCCAACTGAGGCGACAACTACTAGCCACAGGGAACGCAAGATAGGATAGAATACCACAGGTCGAATGGCTGGACCCCGACCCACCCCACTAGTAACAAAACTCCACCCATATAAGACCAAGCTCGTTAGGACTGTCTAACATGTATAAATATGAAGATGACTAATGTACCCTAACCGCTCACCCTCCCCTTCTTCTTTTCTGTACCCCCCGCTATATTGTATGCATAAACAATACAAACCTGAAAAAAAAAAAAAAACACACAACAAATTTAGGGGAGAAGATTCTCACGCTATAAGGTGAAACTGTCCTAATCTAATTGCAACGCTCGGGTCACATCTGACACATAATGATCCCCTTGCTCGATAATCAAACTATACACCCCCTAGTATAATGAGAGCGGACACCGAAACATAATGGAGTGGGTCCTCCACCACTAGACAGGAATGTTCCTAGACAAAGACCACTAAGCAACCAACTGTGTAAGACGTACAACAGAAAAACACCTAAATATGCCTAGTGTGTCAAATGAATAATCAATATTACAACACCTCCTCTGTACCATTTTATTATGCATGTATTAATGTATACCCCATCCCACTTTTCCTTCTGTACCCCATCAACCTATGAAAGACAAATAAAAATTGTCAAATTGAAAAAAAAAAAAAAAAAACCTCACAGTCCAGCAGGTTTCTTCAAATTCTGGCCCACCAGATGTTGCTGAGCTACAACTTCCATGTTCCCTGGCTATCTATTTCATTAAAACAATCATGGGAGTTGTAGTTTAGCAACATCTAAAGGGCCAGGGTTCGCAGAACCCTGTTCCAAAAGAAACAAACTATGGGAATAAAATAAGGTAAAACAATGAATGTGGTTCTAAGCTCAGTATATGGCAGTCTCAATAGTATAATCCTTACTTAGAAAGCACTAAACACTTCTCTGATAGTAACACTCCCTCATCCCTAACCCAACAAACCCTACTGAAGCTCTTACTGAGACTAGGAGTGCAGTGGAGGCAAGTATAAAAATCACTTACCTGTGCAACACTTCTGGGTGCTGTGCAAGGTGGGTGTTCCATGATACTATGCATCTGATCAGAAAATTCCACACACACACACACACACACACAGTGGTGTATCCTGGTTTTGTGCTGCCCTAGGCAGGACAAAACTCAGGCGCCCCCTCCCGCCCGTGCCACCCCCACCCAACCTTCTAAAATACACACACACATTCACTGACAGATACACTCACTAACAGACACACTAACAGACACACTAACAGACACACTAACAGACACACACACACACTCACAGACAAACTCACACACTAACAGACACACACACACTAACAGACACACACACACTAACAGATACACACACACACACACACACACACTAACAGACACACACACACAGACACACACTCACACACTAACAGATACACCCTCACACACTAACAGATACACCCTCACACACTAACAGACATACACTCACACACTAACAGACACACACACAAACAGACACACACACACACAAACAGACACACACACAAACAGACACACACTCACACACTAACAGATACACCCTCACACACTAACAGATACACCCACACACACTAACAGACATACACACACACTAACAGACATACACACACACTAACAGACACACACACACTAATAGATACACACACACTAATAGACACACACACACTAATAGACACACACACACTAACAGACAAACACACACAGTAAGACACACACACACTAACATATACACACACACACTCACACACTAACAGACATATACACACACTCACTCACATTAACATTTTTTTTTAAATTTATTTAACCCCCCCCCAACCTCTTTACCTTTGGGAATGCTGGGGGGGGGTTCCCTCTCTCCCTGGGGGTCCAGTGGCTGCTGGGCGGGCGGAGCTGGCGGGCGGCTGGCGAGGGAGCACTTCCTCTGAGCACTCAGCTCCCTCGCGCGCCGCAGACGAGGCTGGGAGCCGGAATGTGACGTCATATTCCGGCTCCCAGCCTCATTCTGCTGCGCGCGAGGGAGCTGAGAAGACAGCTCAGAGGAAGAGCTCCCTCGCCAGCCGCCCGCCCACCCGACCAGCATGTCGGTTAGCCGCAAGGCAAATGCCTTGTTTGCCTCGCGGCTAAAACGCCCCTGCACACACACACAGACTAAAGCATTCCTACCAAAATGGTTTAGGCATGCATGCCAGCTCACAATGCCCGTACACGGCACCAGAGGGTTAATTTGTTCTCATGGTATGCTTTGATGTACCTGGACAGTCTGGGATATGGAGTAATTAAAAAAATATAAAGCTCTCAGCCTATAAGCTGGGCCTGCACTGCTAAGTTCGTTGGGGCTAACTAAATCTCCTTGCAGGAGGTACTGGCTTCAAATGAGACAGCGATCTGTTCCCGGCTGATCCCACGTAAGTTGTCAAACCATTCTCAAATGGGTACACTGTGGCACCATACAAATATCAATACGATAATAAACGAACACAATTGTATGCGGCGGGTTTGAGGTTTTTAAGAATACTCATGTTTTTGCCTATAAAGAGTATCTGGGAAGCAATCATTCAAAACTCTACTCCATTGGTACATGCCATTTTCTGAAGCTTTAACACAACATATTATTTTGTAAGAAACACCAATTAAAAATGAAGACATCATTGGAGAGAGTGCATACAGGGAGAGCCATAATGACCCTGTCCATAGGTAAACTAACAGCAGAACACTTTGAGGGATATTTTGTTGTGGATGTAGAGGTATAGTAGGGATTGGGAACCCAAGCCCGGCACGTTTCCGTCTGCTACTTAGTTTTGCCCAAAAAGCTGTGAAGATTTGTTCCAGCTTCGTTATCAGTTAGATTGCAGATCTCCAAGATTTGACACATGCATGACGTTCGCCATATTGTGTTGAACCTTGCACCGGTCGACTCCCGCACTACGTGAGCCCATAGTAATAGATGCCTGGATAACCCTTACTGTCCAGGAGGGGGAATCGGGACAGAAGCTTTAACTTTCAGATTGACAAAGGACAGAGAGACCCGCGCCACCATGTAGTCCACAAGTAGGCCATTAAGTTGCTCCTACAGCAACTGCCCAAACTGGTCAGTAATACCTCCATACTGCTTGTATGCCAAGCCCAAAAGTTGTAAGGCATAAATAGTAGTTGTTTAGCCTACAGAAGCGAGCAAACAGTTCTCCAACTCAATAAATCTCAATTGTCTTCTTGGAGCTCAGATGAAGTGCGACTGTTCAGCTTGGCAGTCATTCTCCACCCCCAATCCTTTATCATTTCATGCCAATGACACTGCTAGACTAAAACATGTATACACAACTTAAGTACATCCTTTCATTCTTAATATAATGTTATGACTATATCTGCACCTAGATACTACTGTATAAGTGTCTAACCTCTTCTGTACTCTGTGCCTGGCAAAACTATAAGAGGAACACACCTAATCACATGGGGCTCCATGTGTACAGTCCCATTTTTTAACCTCAACCCATTAAAACTCTGTCTTGTTGTATATTTTTCTTTGTGCTCGATGCCCCAGTTTAGAATATGAATACACAGTATGCTGTTACATCATTTGCCTATATATTAACACTCCTTAAATAGAATAATAGAGGACCAAGGTGCCACAGTTTCAATTGAACTCCTTTAGAGTCTGTTTTTTCCAAAAGGATTTAATTAAGTTAACGAGGGACATGCAGAACAAACACAAAGAAAGCAGCGAGGATGTTGGCTACCAAAATCCAATTACATGCTGGAGGGATTGAAAAGGCATTGCGAGCCAGTGTCTTGGTCAAATCATGGAGCTGAATTTAAATTTCCCTAACTTCATATAAAACTGTAATTAACTTATAAGCAGAAAAAAATGTATTCAGGAGTTGTTTTTAATTGTAACAGGTTTTTTTCAAACAAACCTCGCTGTTAACATAAACATATAAATAATATTTAGGAGAAAGCTGCAATTTAATTTAATGCTATAAATTATGCAGACTAACTTACAATTAAGATCAAACAGAACTGTTTAACACTTTCCCTTTAAATTCCAAATCTCTACCAAGTCTGCTCTAACCTCATCATTTTCTTCTCAGTATGTTCGAAATACCTGACCAACGTGACCTCTGTATAACCAGCTCAGTGTCTTGCAATTAGACAAATCTTTCACAATGAAGGAAAACTGGAAAGTTGGGCCCGTGAAAACGTGCAAAACTTCTAATCTCATCAATTAGGGTCAATCGAGTGTCTCAGTCAATCTAAGTAAGGTGCTGTGTTTATTCACCAAAGTAAGAAATGCAGGCAATTTAAAAAGATTTTCAAATTGAAGGCCAAAGTAGCCAAACTGATAGCATAGCTGACTGTGAGAATTTTTCTGGTTCAGCTATTTTGACCTTAAATTTGAAATTCCATTTGAATTCCTTGCAATTGCCATTTTAGTAAATATCCCAGTTTGTTTTTATGAGTTGCGAACTCATAATGATTAACTTTATTAAAAGAGATTTAAAAAAAATAAAAATACTTTATTTGTAAATCAGGTAGCAATCTTGCAATTTAGTACATAAAACGCAAGGCATTTATTACTACTCTTTCAGTAAAGCAGTACTTTTTATAATTTCCTTCCTGCCATCCAACCTTAATACATGCTGTCAAAGTGCAATTCTTGTATTCATTCCTATCATTTTAAGGGACACTATAGTCACCATAGAAACATAGAATGTGATGGCAGATAAGAACCATTCGGCCCATCTAGTCTGCCCAATTTTCTAAATACTTTCATTAGTCCCTGGCCTTATCTTATAGCTAGGATAGCCTTATGCCTATCCCACGCATGAAAATTGGCGTTCAAATTAGTTTTTGCATTTTTCACACACAAACAAATATTAACACAAACTTTGGCCAGTGTTTGTGACCTAATGGCTGCAGGGGGACTTAGCCGTGAATGCCCTGGAACTATTTTTGGCATGAAAACTTTGCGGTTCCCGGTTGGTCCTCCAGCGGCACTTAGCCGCGATTCTATGGAACTATTTTTGGCTATGGGACCATGCCTGCGGTCGGTCAAAGTGTGACTTCCATAAAATTTCTGAACCGATCTGGGTGATTTTTGGATATATTGGTTGGGACTTTTTAGAAATATGTGTTTTTTCTGCCTAGGGATAATTGGGTTAATGCATGTTTATTATAGGAGTGTCAGGGTCACCAGTGTGCTATGCACTAATTATGGGTATTTGGGTTTGGCTGGGTTTGAACCTGGGTCTCCTGCATCCCAGTCAGGTACCTTGCCCTTGACTCCACACATCTCTAAACTAATTGAATTTGTTCTGGTGAGTAGAATCATTCCCTTCAGGCTTTTTGCAATAAATACTGTTTTTTTTCCAGAGAAAATGCAGTGTTTACATTACAGCCTAGTGATAACTTCACTGGCCCTTCCTCAGATGACTGCTAGAGGTGCTTCCTGGGACAGTGGTGCACAGTGTGACTGACATTCAGTGTCTCCACTCTCTGCATGCAGACACTAAACTTTCCTCATAAAGATGCATTGATTCAATGCATCTCTATGAGGAGATACTGATTGCCCAGGGCTGTGTTTGACTTGTGCTGGCTCAGCCCCTGATCTGCCTTCTTAACAAGCTCAGCCAATCCAATGTGAAACCATTGTGATTGGCTCAAATCCCCACTTCTGATTATGTCAGCCAAGCAGGCAGATCAGGGGCAGCAGCAGCAGACTGGAATAAAAGTAGAATTTTACTATATGTAGGGGGGCAAAAGGGGGAAGGGTAGATGGAGGTTTTAACACTATAGGGTCAGGAATACATGTTTGTGTTCCTGACCCTATAGTGTTTCTTTAATACTATTATAAAATAGCTGCTGCAAAATTTACCTCTGCCATAAGGCACTATATTACGTTGTAGTGAATTTGGTAATAGATACTGATTGCTGGATAATAGTGAATATATTCCATTAGAATGTAAGCTAACACACCTAAATACTGAAACATATTTCCTACCTTCAGTGCTCCACATAGTTCCACTGTGTCTGCCTCTTCCACCACAGTTATACGAAAATTTGGGGTCTGGAATAATTCCTTCAAGATTTTTCCTTGCTCTTTATTTTTACTGCCTATTATTAGAGAACTGGGTTTTATTCACAGTGAGAAACATCAGACACATCACTTGATGGCACTCAGGTATGACATTTATGGGTTTTGGAATGATCTACTGTGACAAACTATGTCTCTTACCGATTGTTGTCTCACAGAATTTCCCATCAGCCACTTCATTGGCGATGTTTGCTCCCATCAAAACATTCATCTGGATTCCTAGTCTTTCCCGAATTATATCGGAAATGAGACGCAGTCCATCGGGACCCTCGTCTACTCCCTGCAATGCAACAAATTTTACAGTTTAGAGAATACACATCTTATACTACCCATCCGACAAGAAGCTTACAATCTAAAGGGATAACGTGTATTATTGATCTCAAAACACAATCTGACAAATAAATAAGGTATTTGTATCTTAACCTCCTACCACTGCATCCATGGGTCAAAGTGGTGGGTGGTTCTATGTTGAAGAATGGAACACAGTAAGAAGATAGAAGTGGGGCATTTCATAAGTTCTTATAAAGTTTATTTGATTATCAGAGAGGCGACAGGTGACCTTTTTTTCATGAATTACCTGTTGGTAATCAATTTATCAATTCATGTTTAGGATTTCATCTTCACATTGTTGGTACATTGTGACATAACTCAAACATTCGCATCACACCCACCTTTATGAGAGACAACCCAAATGCATCTTTCTTTATGGTAGACTTGAGCTGGTCACACAATTTACCAATGAACTGATGGGGAACCACAAACACCAGGATATCCGCTCCAGCTGACGCTTCGAGCAAATCGGGGACAGCTATCTAGAAAGAGACAAAAATATTTGATAGCACACTTCCTGGTATTAAACACATACTGGGTTATTCATTGAAGCGAGAATTCCAAGTGAATTTCAAATTTAAGGTCAAAATAGCTGAATTGGAAAACTTGTCTAAGTCAGCTGACCTGTAACTTTAAAATTAATTTTGAATTCTCACTTTCGTAAAACACCATGATAGAGTACTCATACTTGGGTTATCCTGAAACCATGACTTATTTATTAAAACCTTTCCAGGTATGATCTGTTAACAGTATAGATAGGACCTCAAACTCAATTTAACAGATTACAAAAAATATGCTTAATTTATGTTTTGGGTAGCATTTACCATTTATTTGGGACGTAATAAGAAGGCAGTTAAGAGAAGGGAAAAGGAGAAGCGTGGACGGGCATTTAAAGGTAAACTCTTACTTTTTAAAAATATCATATTATATATATTATCACCTCTTTGTGTATTATTTAGTAATGCATACATATATTTTTTTTCAGTGCATCTCCTGTTTTACCCCTGCTCTTCTTAGGTTGAAATTCGGCAGTACTGCTTATCAGACCAAACACCACACAACATTTTTTTTTAGATAGTAGATGTTTGCTAACTGCCTAATAATACACACAAAGGCAACAATGCATGCAATATTTTATCTTCAGTAATAATAATAATAATAATAAACAAGCTATAACCACTTTCTTTTAATTTAGTGATTTTTCAGTCATCCATCTTCAAAGTGTTTGAAACGTTAAATATACCGCACTCCTAAATACTCCCTGGAAGATAAACATGAACGTGTTTCTTGTATATGCTTTTTTTAATCGTACAAAAATAGATACACGCTGCAGCATAAACAAATAAGTGCGCAAGGGATAAATACATTTCATACACCGAAACACAAAACTAAAAAGAATCTGGACGAGTTTCGCTTCTACCCAACGACGCTTCTTCAGACGATCTACTTCTACACTTTCAAAGTGTCAAATATTAAAGGTGTGTTTGGGAGGAAAGTACTCATATTTGATTTAAAGAAACCGTTTCATAGAGTGTAAGGTAACATTATCACGGGTCACTGTACCTGCCAAACCGGGGCATAAAGTCGGCAAAATGGGGCATACAGTCACACAATTAAGCCCCAGATCATAACATTGGTTGTAAATGAGAGCTGATGTATGGACTTTCTGTGACCCCAAAAAATACTGCTAAGGAGACACTGAAAAATTGGTAAGTTAAGTCTAAATACTTTGTACCACCGAGTGCTATCTCAGAAGATCAAACTCTTCGTTCCACCACTCATTCATGCATTCACTGCCACTGATCTATAACTATAAGGTAAACTAAGCAAAATGCAGATTTTTGATTGACAAGATATTTTTATGCGGGGAGGTTAAAGGTCATGTTGCATAAGTGAGCAATACAATCTACTTGTTGGTTTAGATAATCTCTCAGGAGCCTTTCAAAATCCAATGCTGGGACTCCACAAGGCCTTACGTGGGAATATTGAGATGAGTCAGCGATAGACACATTATGTAACACGGTGAAGATTATAATTCTGTATATCGCAACCCCCAACTCTCACAGTCACAAAATCCAGGCAAAGTCAGCGCATCCTAATAGCACCGTGGACAATGATGCTCTGCCTCTCTGTTAATATAACATCATTCAATACATTTTAAATTGTATTAAAGGATCACTATAGGCACCCAGAGCACTTCAGCTCAATGAAGTGGTCTGGGTGCCAGGTCCATCTAGATTTAACCCTGCAGCTGTAAACATAGCAGTTTCAGAGAAACTGCTATGTTTACATATGGGTTAATGCAGCCTCTAGTGGCTGTCTCACTGACAGCCGCTAGAGGCGCTTCCGCGCTTTTCACTGTGAAAATCACAATGAGAAGACACTGACGTCCATACGAAAGCATTGATAAATGCTTTCCTATGGACTGATTGAATGCGCGCGTGGCTCTTGCCGCGTATGCGCATACAGCCCTGACGTCGGAAGAGGGAGGAGAGTCCGCAGCGCCAAGGGCGCTGGATAAAGGTAAGAATTTAATCCCTTCCTCCCCCTTGTGCCCAGCGAGAATGGGACCCTGAGGGTGGGAGGGACCTAAAGACCCTATACTGCCAGGAAACCGAGTTTGTTTTCCTGGCACTATAGTGGTCCTTTAATACTATAGGCTATCCTAGATCATCAATGACATGTAGCCTTCCTTCATCATAATCTTGGTTTACTATATAGATTTTCCATGTTCTATCCTCTCTGTGTCCCCAATACCAAATCTCTCCTAATTCATAAACCAATTTAAACCAGGACCCAAACAATCACTAGCACGCCAGCTAAATTCATGACCTCTCTCTCTTGACAATTTTATATCCTCCTTCCCTAGCAATTTTGATCCCCTGCCAATTTCAGTAACTGAATACACAAGCTCACTAAAGTCTCTGCCTAGAGATATTCAAGTTTCATCGGAATGGAAAGGGACTATAATGCCTTTCTTGTTGTTTGTGATCAAAAAGCAGGAGCAATGAATGATTTGGCATAAGCTGTGGAAGACCATCAATATATCCATGTTTGCCAATATGCCACTTTGGGCCTCGTTGGACTGAAACTTACCACATTAGCTGGGAGCTTGTGCCCGGGGAGGTACTTCACATTCTCGTGCTCTGTATTAATGATTTCCGTTAGTTTTCTCCCTGAAACTAACTCCTCAAACACCCACATTTTCACCACATTGTCAAACTGAGGGAGCTTAGCAGCATTGTCACCCACGATCTTCGCAATTGCCGATCCCCTGGGGAAACAGGGCATAAATTGAGAACAAACACCAAACAAGCAGTTCCATGTGACACTGGTAGAACAATTTCCAACATTCAGCCAGGAATATGAATGAGAACATTTTGTGAACAGTGAACAATCAGTAACAGTGACGGACTGAATATATTAACAAAATGCCTTATGGTCTCTCTATGCATGTAAATAAAGTGCTTTATATATTATTCATATCCTGGTTACTAATTAACCAGAAAACGAGAATGGAGTAGTCAAAGACAAACAACAAAGGCTTGGTATTAGAATAATTATATTTTTTATATGAATAATGCTGAATGAAGGAATGCAGTACAAAAAAAACCAAAAATATTAACTTATTTATTTACCACAGTTGCATAGATTTAGAAAAAGCTTTCAAGGTTATTCTCGAAAATTGTTGTCAGATTTTCCAACTATCATGCAGAGATATAATGTCAGTGCTCAAAATGTACACTCGCCATTAGCCATTGCCGAGTGTATATTTAGCCCAGGGCTAGCAGATATTAACTCTTGGTGAGTGTGCTATGGATCCCAAAGCTTGCGTGGGGGCAGAAACTTTTAAGGATTGGCTAGTAGCCTTGGAAATAAAATTGCAAGCCCTTCTTGTATTTCTTGGTTTCATCCAAGCTTACACTGCTGGTGGCATGGTTAAAGTGCTACTTGGGCAAATTTAGTTTTTTAATCAAAGGGAAAACAGAAAATTTACTCATTTTTGTATTTGTTGAAACTCACATGCCAAATTAATGGTTATGTTTGAGATAATTAGATGTTATTTAAAACCGCTCCAGTATGAGATTTATTACAGCTTGTTAGTTTCCCTTTGATGTCAAATCCAGCGTTTCCACTTGAGAAAGTTTAAATATCCCAGTTCATTGCCATACGAAATTGGCAAAAGAGAACAGCGCGCCAACAGCAATCTGTCAAACCATTTAAAATGGTCACATGATGTGGCTCAAAAAAATAGGTTTGGACACACCCAGTAATTTCTTCAGCAGTAGTTGCAGACTTGTCAAAGGCTCAGGGGAGCCGAAACACTGTCAAAAGTTTTGTACTCCACAATTAAGTGTACCTGCTGAAGAAACTACTGAGTGTGCCCAAATCTACTTTTTTTGTTCCACTGGATTTGTCTGGGCTGGGGTCCATCCTGTTTTGGAGCACACTACTGGGAGTATTCCCCAAAAAATGTGTGTGCAAGGTCCTTTGAAAATTCTACACGACATGATGTGGATGGCATACTCACCTGTGGGTATGTACATTTTTTCAAAATGTTAAATTAAACTATAGTTTCCTCCTTCATCAGGATTCTTCTTAAATAGAACACGGGTGCTTTGCCTCTAAATGACAAACATGGCAACCCACAACTGTTCTGAGGTGTGTACAGTAGTGCCACTGTGTAACTTGTGATGTGAGGGTGTTAGTTGACTTCCTACTGAACAACATATAAAATGACTGAAAGTGTGTTTAAAAGTTACATACACAGAGTTTGATAGAGAGTCAAAAGAAATAAGCAGGGCCGCAAGGATGCCACCCTCCCATATAAAAGAGGCACTTCATTTGAATTTAATCGGAAGATATAAATACTATAAACAGGACAGCCTACTGACAGTGAAAAGTCAAATCGTTTAAAAGTGTCAAACATTGTCAGCTGACACTTCTCAACCAATGAATACTGGCTAAACCTGGTATTTGGAGATACAATATTGCGGAAAAATAAACTTCCCCTATATTGGACCAGCTAAGACCATACAGGCTGTTGGCACACAACACAGTAAGCACAGTAAGATAGATGTCAAACTATTCATAAACAATTTAACAGCGCCCAGGGACTCCTGACACCATACATTGCGCAGTAGTGACTGTGTTGCTTAAAGGTACTACTCACTCTTAAGACAATAAAAGTGGAGGAAAATATCCACTGTCCTATGATGATATAAAACGTACATCATTACCACTTGGTAATGTGGGTGAAACGCGTTGTGGAACTATTTCACTTTTATTTTTGTCATAATAAAGGTTTTGGTAATTTTTCCCATACATACTTTTACCATAGACTTTTCCTTCTTTAGTTACCGGCATTCTGATCTGATCTCTCCAGTGAGGACCTCACCAAGCATCCCAGGTGGGGATTATACTACCTATGCTGATTATACTGAGCGGGCTATCTGCTCAGGTAAATGTGAGTATAACCAAATTATTTTTACTCCTAGCTTAATATATTGTATACAGAGAGCACTATTGTTGCACCTTTTTATTTTCACATATATCCTGCTGCTAAGACACCTGCTGGTTAATACCTCCCATCGATATCCCTGAAGTGCAGGATCAAATCCACTGCAAGCGCTATATACTAGAGCTAGTTTTAGCTCTCTTCCATGTGAGTAGGTAATTTGGATTTCCTTTTATACAGCTTTTACCTTATTTTGAACGTATTACACCACTGGAGCTTTTCTTCTCTTTTTTTTATATGTTCCTGGATTTTGAACATATGGACGGTATATTAACCTGAGGATACAAGCAAACCCTATCAAACTTACTATTGTAAATTAGACTTTATCTTGGACTTTTTGTCTGTATTTTTATATTCACGGTTTTATATCATCATAGGACAGTGTATATTTTGCTCAACTTTTATTGTCTTATCAATATCTATTTTATCCCTTACCCCTTGGTGCACCCTATTGTTTTTTATTTCTATTATTCCTTTGGGGTTATTAGGAGAGAATTTACCCGTTTAGGTGTGCTGCCTTCCCTATAGAAACGTAGTACTGTTCCATTTCCCCCTTTCCTTTTACTACTCACTCTTAGCTTATTAAAGGATTCAAAGTAAAATACGTAGCATGTGTGCGACAATCAGAACCTAGTATTTAAAAATCTGAGCTGATTAGGTTCCATAATCCTGCTATAAAGACATTTATATAAAAACTGACATTCTAATAGCTGTAATTCTCTCTTATTTGTAATTAAAAAAGAAATGCTGAGCCAATTTTCTAAAAAAAAATTTTAAATAATCAAGACAAGACACAAGCAGTTTTTAAAATATTATGATACTGCAAAGAAACCACCTTCTCTTGCTGACTCGTCCCCTCCCTAGCAAAAAAATAAACTAACATGATGCCTGCAAGCACACCACTGTAAGAACTACATTGCTGCAATTAAGATTTCTAAATCTATAATCCCTATAAAATATTTATGAGCTCTGCAACACGTTACTCTGTCTATAAATGACATCTTCTAATCCAAGTAACGTTTAAAAAAACACCATTGAACATGTACATATTATTTTTATTGCCTCAGAACGTTTGGAGACTGAGGGTTGACGAAGTTTGGAAATTTAACTGAATTTGAATTGGATAACACTGAACATCCAATCAAAACAGTTTTCACAACAAAGGGGTCTCTTTTCTTTTTTCTTAAATCTCCCCCATTAGCCTATTAAGGCAAGACTTCTCAAAGTAGTAACATATAGTAGCCAATTAACATGATTTTTGCATACATACTTGCCCATGTCTACATATAAAAGCCCTTTGTATGAAATGGACACTACAAGCACCATAACCACATATGCTCCTTGCACAAGTTTAATGAGGTCCACGTCCCTGCTCAATCTGTTTATTATAGCTGCAGTAATTGCAAAAATCACAACTTTACAGCCAATGCTGATCTCACAGAGGGAAACTAGAGATCTAGGACAATGTCACCAAACTGATGCATGCTTTTTAATTAGAGAACGCAATCATTGGTGAAGCTCCTGCTCGGAGCTCCTGAGTGCAGCGGATTGCTCTCAGCCAATAAGCTAAGCCCTGCACTGCCGAGCTAAGTTCGATTGCAGGAAGTGTCACCTTTCAGACTCCAGTTATGAAGTCAAATGGTTATTGACCAGTTTTATTACTTATACTGGTTACTTACACTGGGTGGGGTGGGCACCAGAGTACTTCTGCCACCATAACAACCGTTGTTTCGGAGTGTTCCTTTAAAGTTTCAACAGAAAAAATATTTAATTTTGCAATAAATAATTACCCAACGGAATGGAGAGGATTTATTGCAGGATGCACCTTTAATACCTAGATTATTCCTTTGACAATATGGGCTGTTTTAAAAGTTTAATAGATACTAAGTTCTACAACCACCTATTTCAAATTATTCAACATGAATTGTAGGATTTCCCAGCATTAGACACCCTTCCCCTATCATTCTATGATGTACAAAGGCCATCCAAATATTTGTACAGATAATGTTACGTAAATGACTTCGCTTACCGATGCATCTAGTGGTTATATTCAAAGCACAAAAAAACAGTCACTGCGCGCATAACCATCTAGCAGCATACATGCTAGTGGTTATGGTGCTTGGAAAGTGTCTGTATTGTGAAATGTTCAGCATACACTTGGCCTTGGCGCTGTTATGTTTATCCTGTTTCTCCCTCATCGGTTTACACTACTATCTACAGCTTATATCAAAACAAACATTAAAACCAAGAAAATAAAATTCCGCTGTTCGACATGTGAGTGGCTTCCCTGTTTGACCTTATTCCACCATAACTCAACCTCTAAACTAGCAATTATCATTCTTTTTATATTCTTTATTTGAGAGAGCCTTTTTAGGAAAATAAATTTTTTTATCCTGACACACCCACCACTACAAAGATAAAATATACATTTTACATAAGGTCTCATTCATATGGATTTAGTGGAATTCACTGTGAGGTTTCCAGATGATCTCGTAAATACAAGTAAATTCCATAATTTAATTACATCCGATGTATCGTCAGAATAAAAAAAGTTTGGAATATAGAAAGGTGTGCTAGAAGGGGCAAAATAGGGAAAGCCATATGAAGAGTTGGAAGGGTGGGGGAGTAACAGACCTCTCTCCTGCGGGAAGAGTAGCTCATAGAGGGTATGGGTGGTGGGGGGTATATTAAAATGACGATACCTGGAGCAATGGAAATTTGAGTCAGGGGTACCCAGTGGCAGTGTGAACAAGTAACAGTTTGAGCAGAAATATTTAATATTAGATATAAAAAATGTTTAGGGCACAATGCCCTCTTACCTATGAGAAAAATGCATTGTGTAGCCATCAAGACATTATTATTTTTGACATTTATATAGCGCCAACATATTCCATAGTGCTTTACAATGGCATTTGTAAAATGTTAATCAGAACTAAAGCATGTATAAGCCACTGGAACGGAGGGACAATGCTAAAAATGTACTACTCACATTAACCTCCATAAAAGATGCGTTAAGTAAAATTATAACAAAACTTACTGTGAGAGAACCCTGCTGATAAGCTTTAGTTTAGGGTTTCTTTTTTTTGGGTGGTGGGTGGGGAGTGTGTCTGAGATGCGGAGCATTGATTGCTTTGCTCACCAGTCTGGTACTCATAAGGTTTACAAAAGAGCATTTTAACCAAGGAAATTAAGTTAGTGAAAATGTGTTGAAAAGAAACAAAGCATTTAAAAATGAACTCGTAAAGTTTAATTCAATTTTCATCTCCATTATACGATACGAATGCTATTGATAGTAATGGTTATAGCCATCACGACCAGTTTCCTGTTCTGCTTAAACATAAAATCTTATTTAATTTGTCCCATTTACAGCTTTAGATCACTTCCTAAAATGAAACATTCGGAATGTGATGGTGCTATATAAATAATAAAATAATAATAATTCCAATTGCCCTGTACAAGGCTTTTCAGATACTGCAGTAAAGTGATTACTGGACATGCTAGGAAAATCATATGGGGCAATCAGGCTCCCCATCAGGGGTGGGTAAGAGGTAGATCCCCAGTTTTTGTAGAAAGGCTACTCCTAACATGCTTTACCAATCAATGCCTTATAAAGCAGGCACACTCTCTATATACACTGAGCATGTACAAATAATGCTGACTTAGACCCCCTTGTACCAGTAAGAGCCACAATACATTTGCCAAGAACTAGAAGAGTTTCCTTCTCTTTAAGTTGCTAATCAGGCAAAATGAAAACTGAGCATTGTGGTACAGGCTGTGGGTAAGAAAAAGGGCAAAGTTCATGGGTAAAGGTTTTGTAACTGATACTACCAGACAGCTCTCAGTGTGCTATATATTAACGAGGAAGATAGCTCAGTCTATGTTTTTATGGATCTGAAACTGGATTGTCACAAGCAATGGATTTCAGTTATAAACCAAGCAATATACACATTCAATTCCTCGTGTTTTTAGAACATATGATAAGTATGTACATTCAATACCTCGTGTTTTTAGAACATATGAGAAGTGTGTATCACGTGACGAGTGTCCTAGCTCTATCTATGACCACATGGTTATTATTAAACACATTGAGATCTGTTACTGTGAGAAACATGGCAATACAAGTACATTGTTTAAAACTGCGCACACTGTAATAGATACAGTACAGTTCTAGTTAAACGCAGCTTTTGGTTTGTGAACAGGATTTATTAGGATCCTCCAGCAGCTCAGCACGGTATTTATTAAAGGGCATCGCAGATGATATATGCTGTGTTGAATGAATAAACAATGGGCAACAAAACAGTTAATTGGACAGCTCTGCTCTAACCTAATATAACCCATGGCAGCTTTGCCAATGTACAAAGTGATCAGTGCTTGCACAGGGTGAATAAGGGTCATTGTTTAATTCACATAAAACACATTTAGTATTAGTAGGGCAGGGCAAAAGGCTAGATACTCAGCTATGGCATAACCATAACTCACATGACTATTTGCCAGCCTTGAGGCTGGCACAGCACCATGAGTGCTGTAACTGTACATTATCTGTGGGAGCTAACATTGAACTTCTGTAAACTCTCATCTAAAAAGGCAACTCCTGAAAATATCTTGCATTGTGTGACATGTAACATTGTCCTATTCACTTACCAGTTGCCAGAACCAACGATGCAAACTTTGAGAGCCATTGTGCAGTGTCAGATCACACAGTGCTGGGTAGTCAGAGTCCAGTGATCAGCTCCCTTATTCCAGTGTTAATATCAGATCACTCCAGCAGCCGTCCTGCTATGTACTCAGCGCTAAACTCTCAGCATTTAAACAAGTGTAACAGCAGGCCAAGCCCCCCGGGCTCTGATTGGCTGAGGGCGCTGACTTTTTACCTACTTGTCAATAGCCTGCTTAGACTGGCAACATTGTACCAAGATCCTGTACCTCCCAGGAGAGCTGTAACCCTTTACTGCCAGGGACAAGAACTGATCTTTAATAGTGCATATACATGCATAAACTTTATTACTTTGCTCTTTGTCAATGTTATAAACCAGGAAAGGTACATGTACAATGTTATGCATTAAAGGGAGAATTCACGTTTAAAGGGACACTATACAGAGACAGACTACTATCTCAATGAAGTGATCTGGCTGAACAGCCCCTGTATTTTAACCCTGCAACTGAAAACATTGTAGGGTTAAAATACACACCATACCTGCTGACGTTCAATATAACAGTGTAAAACACTGGAATTTCAATCAGATTGTCACATAGAGACCATCTGATTGGCGCAGTTGAGTATTTTTGCTACACATGCGCACTACTGACTAGATTCCTTCCTATGGTAAAGTGTTTTATTGGCTGAGATCGATGATCTCAGCCAAGGAAACAGTTCTGGCTGCAGATAAAGTACTGCAGCGAGAGAAATGGTAAATAAAAGTACCTATGTGACCTTAAAGTGACACTATACTCACCCAGATCACTTCCTCTCAATGAAATGGACCATGTGTAGTATCCCTGACCTCTTACCCAGCAATATAAAATATTCCAGGCTTTTTTTTATGAAAAGGTATGTTTACATTGATTGCAGTGCTAAGCCCACCTCTAGTGGCTATCAGTGTAACAGCCACTAGAGGCGCTTGTGCAGCACTGTTTCTATGGTTTCCAATTTCCTATGGTAAATCTGAATGCATGCGAAGCGCTTGTGTTTTTGCAGTAGATCTCCAATGCCTACTATGTCTCCTCTGTGTGGTCGCTGAAACCTGAGAGGTAAGCAGCACAAAAAGAGCCTAGGCTCTGGAAAAAATTAAGACTTTTTAGTAATAAAAATAATGCTCCCAGTAAGGGGGACATTAATACAAGAAGGGCCACTATAGTGTTAGGAATACAAGTCTGTACTCCTAATGCTATACTGTTCCTAAAATGTGAAACTCATTTTGAATTCTCACATTAGTGAATAATACGGTTTTAAAATATATCATCAGGTGTAGAAGTTGTGACCTAACTAGACTCTAGATTTGGTGAGGTCATACAAAAATCCAATACAAGACCTTCTAATCCAACTTACATTACTCTTGCTTTTTAAAGGAGCACTCCAAGCACCATGATCACTGAAGCCTGCTGTAGTAGTTATGGTGCCAGGACTGCCCTGATGCTCTCAGTGTAATTTGTGAAACTGTTTTAGTACGACACATGGTACCCACGTAATGTCCTTCAGAAGAAGTTGCAAGCCTCTCTGCAGTTTAAGCACAGACGATACAGGGCCACCCTGCTTCGGTAACTGGATTCCCATACAAAGAGAATCGTTACATAGGTTGTTAGAGCAGGCTCCCAGGAGAAGCCAGGTGAGTTGTCGAGCTATTCCAAAATAATATGACAAATTACACTGGAACAGTGCCAAGGTACTTCTAGCACCATAACCCCTACAGCAGGTCACAGTGGTTATAGAGCTTGGAATGTTTCTTTAAGCCTCTGATTACCACTTGTTCTAAAGTCATAAGTCACATCCTCCAGCCTCATAAAACCCTTATCACCACTTTCCTCAGCTTTTATTACATTAACAAAACAATTACATCAAACTCTAACCCCCCACAAATCTCTTGACTATCACATTACCCAAATCATCTTAATCCCCTCACGCTGGTCCAATAAACACCTCAATGCCCATCAGTTAAATCCTCTCAAAAACCCCACTGCAATCTCATTACCCCATCCCCTTAATCTCTTTACCCAGCCCAAATACACACTCAACTTATTCACCCCAGGGCCCTAACTCCCACACCCAACCCCAATAATCATATTACCCTAATCTCAAGTAGAAATGCTCCTATGTTGGCAGTCATCTAAATAAATGCTTGGGCCATCTTGCCTCTGCACCCATCATAAAATGGTACACTGTTTATCAAGCTTGGAATGAGGAGAGGCAAGACTCTAAACACACGCAAATCAAAATTAATAAAATTGCTAGACACAGCAGCTCTGAAAGAGGTTTCCAGAAAATGGTCAAAATTCCACACAAAAGTCACACTACATTGCTCATGAATTGTGTGGTATTATAAACATAGTATGTGCATCAAATTTTATAGAATAAAATGCAGAGAAGTTTTACATATAGGTGCTATGTGTGATGCTGGGTTTGGTTTGGATCTGAAAAGCTTTTCAAAAGTTAAGATGGTGGATCAAAATTAAATCACATCAGCAATATTTGCAAATGGTCTGCACATCTGTAGGAAAGGTGATAACATTTCAACTGCCAGCTGGACTAAAATCCATGGTGTTTCAGAGTTTCTAAAGAGTCAAAAGTGCATAAAACCGTAGGGTTATAGGCAGTGAATAAATTAAGAACCCTGTTATTTCTGAAAGCATTTGTTAAACGCACGAGGAGGCTTATCTGTCTATTAGAAGCTGCAATATGGTTAAGAACATAACCCAATCCTACCAAGTATGATTGATTGCAAGTTATTTAGGACAAGTAGTAAAAAGTCTTATCAATCCTCCTAAGGTTTATTAAAGCCAGAGGTTGGGAGTCAGGTCCAACAGGAATGCCCAGGTCCTGCTCACCAATCAGCTTTCCAGTTCTCCAAGTCAGCGCTCTTGATATTAAAGTTGCCACCAGACTCCCCAGAGTTTATCTTCCATGATGCAATTGGTGTGATATGTGCTGACTTTGGAAAGACTAAGCCAAGTGAACCTAAGAATCATAGGGCAATTTTTTTTTTTTGTGCAATTAGACTTAATCACAATTTTCATTTTTGTACAGAATGAAAATACTCTGACACACATACATAAAAACAGAAACACAATAATATGCAGTGAAGATGGGTATTATTCCCCCGCTTTAATGCAAGTCTTCTCCAGGCATTTCACCATTCATTGCTTTCGATTAACTGAAGGTACCTAAGACTAGGCTTTGTCTTCAGTTTAGGGGGGGGAAAATGCAAACTGAAAACCCACAAGATCTTGGCTGAAAATACACCCTTTTAATCTCTTAAAACAAAGTCGCTTTGTTGCATATTTTCAATGTGTTATTTTTATACAGCTTTAAAACTTGGGAGTCACTTGCAGCCTGGTGTTTCCCTTTAATAATGTAATGCACACAAATGGGGCATTAAGGAGCAAATGGAGGATCAAGAAAGGAACCTTGTTACAAAGAAAAAGTTAAATCCATGTTTGTTAGTAATTTCAGCTTTCAACAGTGTAATCGAGGCCATACTGCCAAGGTGCCACACTGACAGTCTTACCAACAAATCTTTCTAAATGGATATTCATGGCATGAAATATATACATGCCCACTGTACAACAGACACATGCTGGCTTTACTCAATTTGCTTTTATTAAAACTTGGCAATTGACTACAAGATACAAAACAATATTTTGGTCCATCAAAAACCATAATTCGTTTAAAAATAAAAAAAGGCTACATTTTATGAGAATAGAGGTGCTCCGAGCACATTCGGTGAGGGAGTTTGAAAGCTCCTAGGGTTACGCACCCCAGAGAGCAGAAGCAGCATGTTAAGAGCCAATTCCTCAGAATGAAAATGCTGTATAATATATCAATGTACACTCAATTATGCTTAGAGAAGAGTCCTTCATTCTTGAAATCTATTGACCACTTTTCCCAGCCAAAACATGTAACCTTTTCCACTAATAGATATTATATATATAAAAAAAAAATACATAGATCATTTCCCCACTGGCTAGAACTGTGAGAAAATAGGAGGTAAAAATAGCTTATTCACCCCTCCCTCCCACCCACAAAAACCAATGGCAGTCTACACGGATCTTTGCTATGTGATCAGGGCATAGTTTGTTATGACTACAGACTGCACACTTTGTGCATTTGCAGTGGTGCTTTTATTATTTTATTTATTTTTTTAATTTTTAAAATATTTTCAACTTCCCATTAGGCTTTTTCTAAGCGGGCCAATAATGCATACTTTTAATGCACAACGCAAATTCATATTTTTGTTTTCTTTATTTCTTTCTGAATTATAATTTGCCCCAGAGGGAGAAAAATAATAATAAAAAAAAAAAAGCTTACTAACATACAGAAAAGAAAACTAGAGAAAATATGACACTTAAGAGGGAAAAACAATATAAAAAAAAAAAAAAAAAAAAAAAAAAAGGAAAAAAAAAATATCACTAAATTTTATTTAACTCATGAGGGTATAACTGAAGTCTAGCCCTCATAACATTTAGCTAAGGCCAGCAATGTATTACTTCTGACCAGCAAGAACAGTATACTTAGTGTATCATCACTCTGCAGTCAGTTGTACAGACCCTGATTACAACACATCCCCAGAAAGCCTCAAGAAGATACTGAAATGCTGGAGAGAAACACTCAAGTTAAATACATCTACGGGGAGCAAACAGCTAATATATCTAGTTTGCAGAAGTCAAGGCTTATGTGTTTCGAATTCCTAGAGCCTGTTCCAGCTCCTGTCGTCTTTGTTGCACCTGCAGAGAAAAGAAAACCAAAGTATTACGTAAAAGCAGATGGGGCGCAGTGAACATTTCTGGAAATTACAACGCAGTGCGTTCCTACCTTAGAGTAGAAGTATCGACATACAGCTTCTTGAGCCCATGGCTGGAAATAAAACTCCGCTCGGCGCTCCTCTTCTGGATTGCCCACAACATCAGTCATAGTCTGGAAATAGATACAGAAATTGGCATGAAAAACAAATAACTTCTTCCAGTCAATGAATGGTCAAAATTCAAGAGATTAGAAACAAACTCTCCCATAATCACCAGACACATGGGATTATAGTTATAATTTGGCATTATACACGCAATTCTTTTTTGTGCAAAAACTTCTCCCTCCCCTCAAAGACATGTTTACTTGCAAAATGGTGGAGGTGGTCAGTCTCTTCAGCCCCAGCAGATTTAAATAGCAAGAACAATATCAAAGTAACAAAACAAAGGTCTACGGGTAGTGGTTCCTTCCCAGACAAAAGCACACCAACAGTCTAGAAATTAGACACTCTAATTATGTTCCATTGGGAATACAGACAGAACCTAATCTATTGTAAAGCGCTGCAGAATAAGCTGGCGCTAAATAAATACCAATAACAAATAATATTGGTGTGCCTTCAGGATTTGATTGAAAACCAGGAATAAGTTACACATGACCCTTGATGCATTCTCTCAGTCATATGCAGTAAGAGAACATATTCATTTATTGACTGAACAGGAGAAAAGCGTGCCTGTTCCATTAACTGTCATAAGGAATGGCAGATGGGTTATGGCACACTGAAGCAATGGGTGTAGGAACTGCAGTAACATTTCAATAATTGGACACTTACATAAAACAAAAATCGTCCCCATTATGACTCATGTGTATTTAATTGTGTTGCACTTTCTATTACAAACCCTATGCAGCATAAGGGTTTAATTTGTTCATAAATATTCTACCTTTATATATATATATATATAAAAAAAAAAAAAAAAAACTCAAAATGTAACAGTTCTGCTTTCAAGGGTGGCATCAAAACAGCCTTCACTGTTTAACCATCAAATCCTGCAACACCATATAAGGGTTTTCTGTTTCTTACCTTGAGGTCACGGCACTGAGACTGCAGCCAATCGTTAATGAATCCTTGAGGGTCACGGGCAAAACTTAACATGAATTCTCTCTGAATCTTCAACTGATTAATTGTTTCTATAGTCTCATGTATCTAGGAGAAGGACAAAACCTCAAAGTCAAATAAAGGACTAAAAAGATCCACTGTTTAAGTGAGTGATTCTGAAACATCTCAGAAAACGTTATCACCATTGCTCTGTGATCACAGCCTATAGTAAGAAATTAAGCATATATTACATTTTTGTATGCAGTGAGATAAATGAGTGCTATTGTACTTGGAAAAACATGTGACTAAACACGTGGCTAGTTAATGTTTATACTTTCCTTTGTCCCATGAAATATTCACTAAAGTAAAAATTCAAAGTGAGTTTTTACAGGTCAGCTATTTTGACTGTAAAATTTTAAATTCACTTGAAATTTTCACTTTGGTGAATAACCCTTCCAAGCAGCATCCACTGGAAGATTTGTTTGGGGCACTTTCTCCTTCAGACTCACACAGATTCCAGCTAGTCTTCCAACATGTGGCCCTAGTCTCCCTCCACTGACATAAAACTGAACCATCCCCAATTTCACAGGTACTTTATTAGAACACAGTTAAGTGACACAAAACAATAACCTTCACATAAAAATAAATAACCAGGCTTTTCTTGGGTACCCCAAGCAAACAGTCCTCACCTGGACATATGAGGAGGTTTGCTTATCTGTTCAAAGTGTATGTCATGCAAGATTAGAGTTTGGGTATAGGGTTTATGTGATCTGCTGTCACCCTACATTGCTCCCTCTTATTAATCCAGTGTTTGTCAAGTGGTTGTTTTGGGAGAGCCACACACCTACTTGATGTAAATATTGATACCTAGTATATATTTTTATGAAGGGAGGTCCGTTGTACATGCCTCCTAGTTTAGAAATGTTGCAGTTTGTGAAAAGCGTTGCAGTATAAACCTGGCCAATTTCTCAAAAACAGAGGAAGAAGCACTGCCTTCTCCTTTGCCTGTACAAAAATATACATAACGCAAAAAAAATAAAAAAAAATTATACCTCTAATATATTAAAACTGAATCAAGTAATAAAACTGTTTTGCGTATTGCTATTAACACATTACAATTCTAAATGGGTAAGTTTGACAACAAATATTTGTCAGAGACAAGGAGACAGCGGCTCTGTTCAAATAAGTCATTTGAGGAGTGGCCAGTGAAGTTATCACTAGGCTGTAATGTTAACACTGCATTTTCTCGGAAAAAGACAGTGTTTACAGCAAAAGGCCTGAAGGTAATGATTCTACTCACCAGAACAAATGCTATAAGCTGTAGTTGTTCTGGTGACTATAGTGTCCCTTTAAAGGTCTCACAAATCCTTTCTGGATATCATAGTATCATAGCCCAAACACCTAATAAAGAGGCTCCTTCAAGGTATGTCCAGAATTAATTACTGCTCGCCTGTACAGGAACATTAAAAGGCAAGTAAATTTTCTTCATTTGTTTGGCTTATGCAATTACTTAAAGGACCACTATAGGCACCCAGACCACTTCAGCTCAATGAAGTGGTCTGGGTGCCAGGTCTCCCTAGTTTTAACCCCACAGCTGAAAACATAGCAGAGAAACGGCTAGGTTTACACTGCAGGGTTAATCTGGAGTAAATCGCACTTGACGTTGGACGTCCTCTCAAACCTCCAGCGTCAAAAAAGATCCCTATAGGAAAGCATTGAGAAATGCTTCCCTATAGGCAGGTTTAAATGCACGAGCGCCTCTGGCCGCACGTGCGCATTCAGCTCCACTTGGGAGCTGTCGTTGATGGAGGAGGAGAGGTCAACAGTGCAGAGGGAACCCGGCGCTGGATTAAGGTAAGAAAATAAATGGTTAACCATTTATTTGTTGCGGAACGGGGCCCTAGTCACCGTTTATAGCATTAGGAATACATATTTGTATTCCTAACGCTATAGTGGTCCCTTAATATAATATCGTAAGTACTACATCTCCCATTATGCGGTTGCCAGCATTATGGCTGTAAGAACATTGTGAGGGAGGTAGTCCACAAAATCTGGAGTGCCAAAGTTTGCCTACTCCTGTCTAGGGGATGGGGTCACTTACACAACAATCTTTTGAACCTTTGAGCAACAAAGCTATCCAGATCCTTAATTCTGACAAGTATTATGAAATGTATCTTAATATGGGCACTTAACATCCGGTGGGTTTTTCATACCTTGTTATCCAAGGCAGCAATCTCCTGTTGACTGGATGTTGAAAGCAAGAAAGAATTCATCTGTGTTTTCAGCGTGTCATCCACTTCTACGTCAATATCATAACAGGCTGTCTTCTTCTGATCATTGGGGTCTACACTATAAAACATTTATCCAGGGTTAGATATTTTAGACTAAGCATACATAAAGATATCTGAAAAGTATAAAGCTTTGTTTTACCTGATGACGTGGTTAATTATAATCGGTTCTGGAGGCATGAGGAGGGCATGGAGTCGCTGAGGAATTTCTGAAAATTTCATTCTCTGAGACTCAAATATCTGTAGGAATGAATAGAAATAATTTCTCAGAAGTTAGAGAGGAACATCAGTTGCAATAAGTTAACCTAAAGATATCAACCAGTAAGTCTCACCTGCTGTAGATACTTATCACAGACTACAAATTCACGTTCATGGGGGTCCTGAAGCTTGTGGGTTTTAATATATTGCCAAAGAGCTTGAATGATAACCGGACGAGTCTGGGTGTGAATACCAAGAAGGCGGGCCAGCCGTGGGTCTAATTTGAACTGTGGTGGCTGAAGTGAGATAAGTAAAGGAGATGCATGTAACAAGTTGTGCAGGACTTAATATTATGTGCTTAAAGCATACCTCCCTCCCCAACATCAGGAGGTAGGAAAACTCACACACAAGCCTGCCAGACAATAAGATTTAAACATGTACAGAACACCAAGGAAACACCAATCTTATACTTTGTGACCAAAGAGAAAAAAAAATAAAAAATACATTACAGCAAGGTAGAAAAACTAATATGGTAGTTGGTAATTTAAAGGTATATTTCTTGTCAAATAAAATTTGCAGTTGGAGAGGAGAAGTGAAACATACCTGATAGTCAAGCATTAGTAAGACCGTGCAGCGTACATTCACATCCCCTGGACGCTTCACCTGAAACCCGTCTGTCTCCTGGGTAGTGGGTGTTCTATGCCACTGTAATGAGCCATATATTTTATAAGAACGAAGCATATAATTGTGATACAAATTTATAGATTATGCAATTGTTCAAAAAAATCAAATTGCATTTCTTATTTTAGAAACAGACAGCAATTTGCTGAATTACAAGGAAATGGTAGGATGTTCTGGAAACAGAAGCCTAATATCTGATAGTTCAAACGTGCATTATTGTATAGAATGTCTGACAAAAAAAGCAAGGCCCAGCTTATAGCAGGGACCCTCCCTGCACATAAAGCTAAAACTATGTACATTACAATACACTATACACAACTGTCCAGAAACATACCTCCACTAAATGATTATCTGGCCCATACAGGTCTTTGTCTAGTTCAATGACTAAAGACTTAAAGAAGGATGAAAATTTCCTCTTTTGTTTGGTAGCATCATATTTGGACAAAGCAGCCTGAAGAAACAAGAGAAAACAAAAACATTATAAAAACAAAACAATGTGAGGGATACCATCAATTATGAATATATTTTTTAAAAGCATTACATATACATTAAAACAAAACAAAATATACAAAGACTGGAAGTTCCCACATTTCCCCTGAAATACCAAGCAGTCTATGATTGGCAATAAGCTTTCACCAAAGCTCACTGCAGGTGTGAGGATACAAGGATTGCCCTGGTGTGGTCTCATTTAGATCAGTTATTCTGTTTTAGTACTGAGCCCTTAGTCAATGGATGAGTTGAATCCATTACTGTATAGAACAAAAAAGGATCATTTACATTTGGCTTCTCCAGATCTGAGAAAAACAGATGCAGCACAGATCTCCAGTGGGACCAAGGTAAGTGTTAAACTGTGCTAAAATAAGTTGATCACTCGCTCCATCAATCTGTGTCACCTAACAACCTTGCAGTGGCACACTTGCTTCAATCCATGTCAAAGTATGCCACAGATACAATTACTTTAGGGCTACATTAAGTTGAATGCAGTTCATAAAATGTGTGTGTGTTTTTTATTTTTTTTAAGTATCAACATTAAGATGGGTATTCCCATTTGGCAATTAATTCAAATGAATAAGTAAGTTTGGCTAGAATGAAGCTTATCTCTTGCAAGTGAATCGTAGCCTAAAAGCGCTGTTTAATGGGAAAGATGCAGAATTAAAGTCTGAGACTGTAGGGACCTTTAATACCATAATCACTTAATTTGATGAAGTGATTATAGTGCCTAGAGAATACTTTTAATTCAAGTATGGCTATACATGTAAACCTAACAACACAATGCAAACCTCCCAAGACTACACTGAAAAAGAACCAAAAAAAAAGCAGTATCACTGTAAACAGTGCTAGACCGATGAAAAAAAAAAAAAAAAAGCTAGATCAAAGCTGTAAATCTGTATTAATTAATTACTTTAACAACGATGCATTACTAAATGAGGCTTGGGACCTGTATATATTGAAAGGTACTAAAGATTAATGTGCCCCAAATGGAATTAGATCAAGCAAAGGTTTGATAAGCAATCTCCATCACAAGAAATACTTTAACAAATCACTAATGATCCCAGGTAACCAATCACAGTAATTATCTGTAGCAGTAGCAAATGAGGTGTTTAGTGCTACAGGATAATTATACTCTATATACACAAACACGAGGTGAAAATAATAATAATAAAAAAAAAATCTTTCGACAAGCTAGCAAAAAAGAAAATATTTAATAAATGCAACATAAGATCAGGGCAGAAAATTTCAAGTCCTCTGTTCCTAAATAGGCCTAAAAATTGGACATAATGAGCCATAAGATATTCAAATACATTTTTCTGGAACATGCAAACTCTTAATTAAATTACATTTAAAATACATTACAAAAGGATTCTACTAGTGGAAATTTACTGCCAGGTATGCAGTGGTGAGTAACTTTAATGTCTGGCTAGTAGCATGGGACTTGAAATTTTAAGTACTGCATTAAGAAAGTAAACATGTTAAAGAGATAATTCAGGCATCTTTCCATCTTAATCTCAATTAAGTTGCTATGGTGTGTAATATACATACATTTATATCACAGTGATAGGAGCGTCAGCCGTCACTCTCAGTCTATCATTACCTGTGCTAATGTTTCTTACTTGCCCAGAGTGGAAGAGAAGAGGGAGAGCAGGATGACTGAAGACACATGTCTTCTTTTGAGAAGTTCCACAATTTTTTTATTTTTTTATTAAGGCGCCCTTAATATTTCTTCAATATTTTTCCAAGGCACCCCAAGTCAAAATGTCTAGGTTGTATATCTGTACATTGCTGCGGCATTTACTGTGGCTATAGTGTAATGTACAGTGTTGGTGTTTGAAGGTGTGCTTGTATATAGTTTTAGTGTTTTAATATAGTGGTGTGTTAGTATGTAAGATTTGCCTTTGATTGCAGGGGTGTGTTTGAATATAATGTTCACTTTTAAATGCGGATGTACATTTGTATGACGTATTTGTGTTTGAGTGAAGGGGCAAGTTTGTATAATTTTGGAGTTTATATGCAGGGGTGTGTTTGGATGTTGTGTTGGTGTACGACTGCTTGGATGTATGTACACACTGAAATAAAAACACACACTGACACACAAGTGCACGCGCACACACTCATACACTTTTTTTATATCTCCAGCAACCCACCTGTTGGCTTACCACCTTGTGTGTCCAGGAGGGGGGCTTGGAGTCCTGCTTTGTGCTCCACTCCCCTCCCTCTCGCGCAGTCTCCCTGCATGATGCTGAAAGGAAGTGACAGGCTGTCACTTCCTCCCAGCCGTCTGATATTACAGGTGCCTGGCCGTGGAGTTAAAGGACCGCAGCAGCAGGCCGGGCCCCTGTTCAGCAGTAATATTTCACCTGTGCTATAATCATGGCACCGGGGAAACATTCCATGACACCCCTTTGTGCCTGTTGCGGCGCCCCAGGGCACACAGTTTGGGAACCGCTGGTTTAACATTTAATCGTAAGGTTGTGTCAGTGGACTCCTGGCACCAAAACGATATAATTGACAAACTTACTGAGAAATATTCTCAAATCTTGGATACACCCATCAGTAGTAACTTTGATCCATGTTCTTAAAACGTATGCAGGGCTCACACTTATTTTTTTAAATTTTACAAAAAATGTTTTATTTTTTTACTGACAGCAAATTGGAAGTTTCTTTAAAGTAGCTGAAAGGTTAATACTTGTGGCTTAGCTTGGCTCACTAAGAACTTCACACTGTGTGTGCGCAAATGTGCATACACTTATACAAATAATGTACAGTAAGGGGGAAGTGTATGCATTGCAGTAGCTGACATACCACAAGGAACATCAAGTGCTTAAGTGACTTGCAGAGGTTCTTATAGTAGCACAGCCATGGGCAACTGCAAATTGGGGTCATTTAAACATACCAAATGGTAACTACTGTAACTCATAAGTTGACATTCTCCTATACAAGAGGCTAGAAAATACATTATTATATAAATGCTCTTGTATATGAGGAACACCCTTAAATTGTAATTAAGTTCAATCATGACATCATTCAATGTGTCTTAATCACTTGTACTTTGGTTAGTAAAACCATGTACATTGCAGTATGGAGGATATGTTTGTTCTGTAGTTTGTTTTTTCAATCTTTCTTTATAAACAGTAATGCATGTCATTTAAGGTCTTGAATAACAAAATAACCTAGGTAGTGGGAGTATGATAACCCTTCTGTCCAAGCAACTGCTACTTTTGTCATAGTAACTGCAGATTTTTATTTTTTTGAGAACTCTTTTGTAAAACAGATGCGGCGGGAAGGGAGGAGACTGACATTTTTACGACAATTGTCTCATTCAAAAAAGTTTCCATTTAGACAGTGGTCTCATTCTGCAGACAGAAAAGGCTGCTTTTTAAAAAAATAACTTTCCAGACCCACACCAAGACTAGATTGCACATGTGCAATTGAACTACATACCTCACGATGTCACTGATTAGGTCATGGGATGCAATCAGCAATCACAGGCAGTACATGCACCTGCGTAGACGTCATATAGCTCAGAGCAGGGGTGGCCAAAAGGTAGATCCCCAGATGTTATAGAACTACAACTCCCTTGATGCTTTGCACGTCTTTAGAAGGCTTTATAATAACAAAGCATTGTGGAAGCGGTCGTTTTAAAACAACTTGGGATCTACCATAAGGGCACTGTCTTAGAGCTTTTTACGATCATCCTTCATTGAACCAGCCTCACACTATGCAACAGCCTCCGACAAGTGCCTTGCAACAGCAGTTATGGAATCATTGCACCCGTCACGACACACCTATCACTTGCAAATATTTGCCCCGCAATGTACCCAGCAATAACTAATCAGCCCATATATAGGCTTACAGCAGTATACTTACATCCTCAAGAAGTCGTCCCTCTACACGTAGTTCCCATGATGCCACGGTTCCCTCACCATCTTCAACATCTGATTTTGCTGGATTGAAAGTATTGGAAATGAAAATCCGAAGTTTCCTTTTTTGCTGTGGAAAAAAATTAAATTAAACTACTTATTATAGAAATTATATTTCCGTTTCCGAGTTTGTCACATGTCATATACGTGTTTTGTGTATAAATACCTTGATCGGCCTTTTCAATGCTTCTTGAATATCAAGACGCTTTCTCATAATCGTTTGGTCCAACTTTCTCTCAAACGCCAGTAAATCCATGTAAGCCTGAGATTCAGGTACCAGTTCCCGAATCTAAAAAAAAACAAAAACCAAACAACCATAACACGTTCAGCTTTACAAACCATCACCAACTATAAAAGCAATGACTTTTACTCCTGCTATTCCCCCACGTGTATTATTTCACTCATTTCTTATAGTACTTACCCTCTGAGGTAGAATTTTATCTGCCATCTTCTTCTTCTTAGCACTAAAACCAAACAAGTAAAAAAAATAAAAAATGTATATATGTATCAATTAAAATAAACCTGAGGATACCAAACAGAACCATCCTACTGTGTTAGAAGAAAGTTAAAACTAGAATAACACCTTATTGTAGTGACATTAAAACTGAATTGTCATTCATCTTTTTTAAAACAACAAATACGGAAAATGTATACATCTTGACTATAGTCAAAAATTTGGAAATTTAAAATTTGAGGCTACAATGTTTGCTGTTTAACCAATTAAATTTAAGTGGCTGCTATAGAAAGATTACCAGGTACCCAAGCCTACCACGTGTCAAATACAAAAGAGCCAACTACCAATACATAGTCAGCAAACATATTTTAGGCAGACATTATACAAAAATGCAAGAAAATAAAAACATCCATGCACTCCTGAGGTTTCTTCTAAAATACAGTCTTTTATTTAAAAAAGTGAGTGGCGATTTTACAAGTATCCACTGTTTTGTTACCAATAAAAAAACTGCCATTTTAGAAGAAACTTCAGGTTTGTCTGTTCTTTTCTTCTATTTGATGTCTCCAGGGATGACCCCCACCACCCTTTCTAGAGCACCCTGCAGTAAGCATCCCCCTTTTTAGTGTGCGCATTTTACTCGTTTTCTTGAAAACAATATACAAAAAACGCACCCATTACAAATTTTGTAAATTGCTTATGATGTCCAGTAGTAAATAAAAATGTTTTACAACATGAGAATTTTAGTATTCAAGCATGAATAAAATAGAATTTTGCATTTGCTACAATACTACTGCCATATGTAATGTTGATCTAAAAATCTACATTATCTGAACAACTGCAGGTGTGCCAAGAAGAATGCTTTGTCAATTTGCTTCAAAACTATTTAGAAACACTGTAAACACCACAACTGATGTTGCATTTTTATATACAAAAACTATTTACCTATGGTTCCTATTCTGAGCAGCCTGTTGCTGCTGCACCTGCTGAATTTGCTGTGGAGCTGGTCGCTTACGGGTTTGGTCCATTCCTGACTGGGCCATGCCAGGTCGCGCAGCTGGACTTCCACCATAACCTGGAGGCCCCATAGCTGGTCCCTGAGGAGTCATTCGACTGCCTGGAATAATTCCAGGTCGCTACAGAAAATAAAGATTTATGTCATCAACAGAACCAATATATCTTAGTAAACAAATTAGAGGGGCTGTATTCTGGTTATCTTCATTGGCTAGGTCATTCATTAAACCCATGACACTGGAAGGATGCCTTAAGACCGGAATGGCAAAAATGTAAATGGCCAGATGTTGTAGAACTACAACTCAAATGATGCTTTGAATGCAATCAATGAGTGAGCAGGCAGACACGCACTGCATTAGCATACCCTCAAATGCATCTGACAGCAGTGCAATTTGACAAACTTAAACTCTTTAAAAAAAAAAAAAAAAATGAATGATGTCAACTATTAGGTGTTGCAAAAGACTTTCTCTGAGTTACACAAAACAAAACCAAGGGAATAATTAAAATGGGGGTGGGGGGGGGGGAAAAATAAATATTTATAACAATTTCAAATACTAAAGCACGATCAAAATGAGAGAAGTATCAGTGCACTTTCACTAGTTATTCCGCTACTGGTGTAAGTAGATATATGGCTCCAATTTAATTTTTTCCTGTTCTTAATGAAGTACAGACAGGTTTGAAGCATCTAATAGCTACCAAAACAATATGATTCTGCAACAACCACCACTAGCAGAGAATGAAAAGTTAAAAATAAAATCTTCCTACTGTGGTATTTGAATATAGGTTGTACAGACCTCAACACATCCTCCAGATAATCACTTTGTCCACAAGGTCAGTATACTGCCTTTGTTGCAGTATGCTAGATGAATACAAATGTGCTCTCTATTTTGAAAACAGATTTCAAGATTTACAAAGCACTAAACCCACTTGAGCCTAGTGTTGTCATACTGCAAGGAATCTTTAGGTGCTGCCAACCCTCTTTTTAAAACCATTTTACCATGGGCTAAGATATTTCAGAGCTTACAGTCTATCACTGGAAAAGGACAGCTCCAAGCCTTTCTACACCATTATGACTGCAATAAACTGTAGTTGTTATGGTGTTTAGTGAAACCATTGGAAAATATTTAGCAGTATAATAAAATTGTGGGTATTTTAAATTGTGGTTATTTCTTGATTTGTGTGTGCAAGTTTATATTTGTATGACATATAGGAGAAATGCCCTAATTACGTGTCTTTCAAAATAAAAGTTCTAATTAAAGCTTACGTTTATTTTATTAATATGATTTATTTTATTAGTTACATACAAGACAGTTTTGGGTGCACCTATAATTTATTTTTATGGGTTTATTTAGATGTATAATCTGTCAATCTATATTGAGAGACTATAAATACTTAACTAACTTTGAAAGTTATCTGAGAACAGTACTTTGTACAGTGCTACGGAATCTGATGGCGCTATATAAATAAAATACTGAAATTGTTTACACTTAACTTGTTTTTTGGCAACAACTGTAGCAGAACATTAATGTTTTAGACTTTTGTCGTAGTATTGAGGGGAAGAAGGGAGAATTGGAGGTTAAGGAACTTGAATGTCAAAGACAACAGACAAAAAGTCAGACAAGCGTCACAGATGTTGGCATTTAACTTCACCAGTACAAATATTCACACCACAACAACTTTGTATATCTGCTGGCTAGTATTCAAAATGAAAACATTATGGGGACACAATTACCACTGCATATGTTGTTTAATATGAGGTAATATTATTTGCATTTATATATAGCTTATGTATTTCGCAGTTCTTTATAATTGTAGTGTGGGGCTGTACCAAAACATTATAAGAGGTTAGTTATCAGGATTAGTGTTCAAATGAGCTTACTACCCAGGTGAGGTAAAGTCTTACTCTTATTGATAGCTGCTGGTCAATTTTACTATATATAGTTATTCACCATGATGGAGGTTGATTAGTTAATCGGGAACTAGAAAATGAGGAAAGCAGTCATATTGCATGCTTTTAAATTTATGATATTAATTAAAAACAACATCTTCCAACAGGGAACGAAAACTGCCAAAAATCAATATTACTGTAATATACATCCAATCTAAACAAAGGACACATGGGATGCCACAAGATCTATGTATTATTGAATTTCTCAAAATCTGTAGTCAGCAAGTAAAAAAAGAAATGGCAAAGTATCAGCCGAGGAAACAAAATGGTAAGCCATCCATCGCTATGTTTGTATTACGCACAAACAGAGCATAGTGTGTCGGTATCTGCATCTGTCACCTGGAGGGAAAGAACAATATTGATAGGAAAAAAAAAACACTTCTTCAAACAGAGGATAAATTAATTACATGCAGGTCTTTCCACGTTTAAAGTATTAAAGATTTCCCTGCAGTATGAATATCTTTACAATGATTTTAGTGAAGGTCATTAATAAAATGAGACCATGTCTGTCCTAATCATTGCGGACACAGAGGATTGTAAAGAATAGATATTTATGGGAAAAGAATAACGGACCTAGAATTTTATTTGAAATCGTACTTTGGCCTAACATACTGAAACTGTCCATTAATCGTCCAACAATGTCAGTTATCTCTAGACTGTAAGCTTGTTTGAGCAGGGTCCTCGTCGACCTACTGTTCCTGTAATATTTAGTAATGGCCTCATTTAAATTTTTAAAATTTCCCACTTAATATTGTCCTGCGCTGTGGAACGCGTTGGCGCTATATAAATACCAATAATAATAATAACCTATAGTAATTTATATGGACAGATGATAACTCAGAGCCCACCCATCCTGTGTCAGGGCTCCCTCCAGCCATTGATTGCCCCCCTCCCCCACCCCATTCATTGATTGATAGTTGGTGGTGTGTAAGGCGCACACACGTTGCCCTCCATCCCTGTACAGGTCGCTGTGGCTGGATAATGAGTGAGAGAGTTTAATATCACTTAATATTAAATACTGAGACCCCCCCACAGCCCCCTCCTGCGCTCCCCCCGATAGATCCCCTCCCCCATCCCATCTCCCTTACCGGGTAAGCGGCTCCAGGCATTGGGGATCGATACATCCCCTGCCCCGGGGCGGGACCCATGCGAACCGGCGGACCGGGTGTCCCGGGCCCCAAAGCGGCCGCTGCTGACGCGGATCCCCCCGGAGCCACCGATTGGAAGCCAGCCCGCGCCGCCATCGCTTTGCAACAATGGGGCCGGAACCGGAAATCCCGTGTCAGGGGGCAGACTGGAGCAGAGAGGCTCACGGGTCGGCGTTACCATGGGAGCCTGGCCTCGGCTACAGAGCGGAAGTGCGCCGCCGCCATTTTAACTAAGGGTATGAAAGCTGGGTCTCAGGCGGTGTACGGCCATTTTGAGTCAGGGCAGAGTAGCTAACGGTCAGAGCGAGCTCAGTCAGAGGTGGGAATTAATCAATGCGGATAATGAATGTACGGATTACAGTGAAACGGCGGCATAGTGTGTGACTGCTGGGTGTCCAGTGACCGCCTGACAGACACTCGGATATAAAGATGGCCGCCTGGCGCGGGCTGTCGATCGCTATGACTCCTCGCAAAACCGTTAGCCAGGTTGTAGCTACGCCCTGGTTAGAGCGCCCCCTGCCGGCTGAGAGCGCAACTACAGCCACCCAGCGGCTCCCTGCCACGAGAGGATTCCCGCGGAAATTAACTGCCTGCTCATGGAATCCCACGTTATACAGTGAAACATTCATCATTCCAACCCCTGCACACATTCTAAATAAACCTGGGATGGGAGCTGTGTGTTCAACCATAATTTACTGCTTTCATATTATTATTATATAGCACTTTATTCAGGAGAAACAGGGCATTCATTTAACATCAAATATCTATATATGAAACATCATTTTAATAGGAATAAAATCTAAAAAAAAAGTGTAAGAAAAATTGTTAGTTTTTTTCAAGTTTTGCATGAGATTTTAACCGTGAATGTTATAATACTGCTACTGTTAACTGCAATAGACGACACATATTTTGTGTTCGGTGATGTTTCGCGAGTATAACAGTGTAACCACGGCTGCTTCCCTTATTTACCACTATAATGGCTTAAAGCATAGAATTTAGCTATAATTTTATATAGTGTAAGAGATCCTCTATTTAAAATAAATAAATAATTGAGAATACAATATAAAATAAGGAATGTCTTGGAAGCAATAGTCTTGTCTTTTAGATCTTTATTATATAAAAACATAAATATAGACATATAAAATCCATTATAGCAGAGTTTATAAGATTAAATTAAATGCTTGCAAATATCATTATATACCTTTGTGAACACGTCATCATGTCAGCCTCTCTGTCATTTTAAGATGGAGCAGCGTCTGTCTCCAAATCTCTCCTCTGTCTCTTAACATTTAAAAGTACACCTATTTATACCTTAGGTGTCTCCATTTTAGGGTTACCATAGTTCATATATGAAAAAGTAACACTTCTTTTACTTTATTCATTTTAGGACCTTAGAACTTGGCAACATACAAGGCCATAACTAAAGGGTAATACTAGAAAACTGATGAGAAGGTGTAATTAATGTTAAACAATTAAATGGGCTACAACATATAACTACAAGCGACCTAAAATGAGTGTAGGCTCAAAAAGTTTGGAAAAATATGTGCGCTCCTAAAAATATTAAAGTAACACTTAAAGTACAAATATATATTTAATAGATAAAAGATCTACAAATCAATCATAACAATAAAAAAAAAAGGAAAACATATATATAAGAGCATGACTGAATTGATCTGTTGCTGTACTTGACAAAATAAAATATCAATGAATGAGCAAATCCTGACAAATAATGAAGCCAAAGTAAGCACCTGATAGATACTAAGGCTACAATGTGTAAAAACAAAGTATCTGGAGGGATAACAAAAGCTAAAAAAAAAAAAAAAAAAATTACAAATGAATTAAGCATCAAATAAACAAGATAAAAGTACCTTGCCTCGGTGGGGGCCCCCACCGAGGTACAAATCAAGGGAGATAGTAGTGGCCAAAAGACAGGGATCCGTCGAAAGAGGACAAATAGATGTTGCACCGCGGTCGGGATCTTCAAAAAAGACCGCGGTGTAGATGGAAAGCAGATGAAACACAATCCACCAGTGGGACAGAGACTCACCCACAAACTGAATATAGCGTATTACACCGCGGTCGGTGTCTTCAAAAAAGACCGCGGTGTGAGAGACCAACTCCCGACAGACACCGGCAAACACTACAGCTCCCCACAGCAACAGAGCAGAACGTCACGTAATCAGCTGTGACTCGTCGACGCGTTTCGTCCCGCCCACGGGACTTTCTCAAGACAAAGTAATTGCCACAGATCAAAGATTAAATAGCCCAGGCATGACCTCAATCCCAGCTCTTTCCAATCACTCCAACACTGTAGCAGCTAAAGGGTGCCAACGTCATGGAAATTTTCCTGACTTTGTTCAAGATGGCATCTTAAAGTCTGGACATCCTTATCTACTTAAGGTTACCACAGTATATTGTGCACTGAAAGAGTCGTAGCATAGCTTTGAAGCTTGTTTATGCATTATCCACTCTTCTTATACTCGAGTCAATGTCTGTATTATGGCAACTTACATTGCCATAATACAGACCAGGACCGCCGGGCTCATTAAAAGCCCGGCGGTCCTGTTGGGGGCTGGCAGCAAGCTGTAACTTACCTTTCCTGCAGCTCCTGTCAGTTCCCTTCTCCTCTGTTCCGGTCAGCTCCCCACTGTAAGTCTTGCGAGAGCCGCGGCGTCAGAGCGTTGCCACGGGTTACCGTGGCAACACTCCGCGCGGCACTCAGACCACGAGACTTACAGTGTGAGCTGACCGGAATGCAGGAAAGGTAAGTTACAGCTTGCTGCCAGCCCCCCTCCTACACAGCCAATGCCACTGGACCACCAGGGAATAATATAGCCGCCCTCCCTGGCCATGTATCAAGCAGGGAGGGGGGACAAAAAAAATATAAATAAAAATGTAAATAATATAATAAAATAAATTTTTTTATAATATAAAAATATTAATAATATAAAAAATAAATACATTTAATATTAAAATAATAATAATAATAAAAAATAAATAAAAAAAATGCCCACCCCCCCACCAAGGTTACACACTCTGCATCACATACACAAACACACTGCACTCATACACACACACATTGCATTCATACACACACTGCATTCATACACACATATACACACTGCATTATATACACACACACTGCATTCATTATATACACAAAATATTCAATTAATGTAATTTTTTGGGGATCTAATTTTATTTAGAAATTTACCAGTAGCTTCTGCATTTCCCACCCTAGTCTTATACTCGAGTCAATAAGTTTTCCCAATTTTTTGGAGTAAAATTAGGGGTCTCGACTTATATTCGGGTTGACTTATACTCGAGTATATACAGTATGTACATTTTTATATATTTTTTGTTATATTGTCGGCAATACAACTGTATATGTAGTACATTGAAATACATTGTCTGCATAATACTATCTGTGTAAACACGGACTTTCATGATATTATTTCCGGTCGTGCGTTGCACGGAGGAACGCGGAAACAAGTCTTCATACTAATCTGGAAACCGGATGTTTGTATATACCCGATCAACGAGAAAGACACACACGCCGGATCCGGAAGTGTTTTGCACTGCGGTGGAAGGCAAACCATTCAATAGGATACACCTGTACTCCTTGCACAGATCGGTATAGGAAGCAGCAGGTTTTCACATCTTCTACATCCCTGAGGAAGTCAAGCTTTTGACGAAACGCGTTGGATTTGCAGTCTGGACATTTTTCTTTCTTTTATGGTGTTATTCTTATTTGTTAAATTTGTTAAATTTGTTTTTGTTTTTATCTTGCAACATTTGATTACCACATCATCTTGCTCGATGGGAATACCACCTTGTTCCACTTGCTAGTGGAGATATGCAAGTTGATTTCATCATTGATGTAAGTGCAATCAGTGAATAAATCTTTGTTATATTTTAACAGTATTATACTATCTGCACTTTCTCTCTTTATCCCTCTGAGGATTCAGCTAATTGGAAGGAGCTTTCACCAACTAAAGATTACCCCTGAGGGGAGATATGCGCAGAACATCTATTTTCTCTTACCTCCTGGATTTAGCCATTTGCTCTATATACTTAACTATATGTGATTTCATATTTCCAGATCTCCATTATATCACATCCTGTTTATTACAGGTTGTATCCTCTATATATCTTATTGTGCTATACCACCTTTTTGTTTATACTTCCTCACGGAGTTGTATAAATTATATCTTGTTTTTTGTCATATACATGTGTGTATGTGAGGTACACTTTTCAAGGTGATAGCACAGTTTGTTTTTGTGTCACATATAGTACTTACCCTGTTTATATGTAGAGTCCCTACCTACTCCTCTTTTATATCAGACTCTACACTTTTTCTGGGTTCACTTTTTGTGGGCTGTGGGGGGGATTCTACAAGGGAAGTTTCCTACGGTGTCTTTAGACATCTTTAGATTGCAATGACGAGGAATTAGAGGGATGGTAAAATAAAATATTAGACAAAAGCTTCAGGGTGAATTTCAGGAAAGTGTATTGCTTCTCTCTGGCTGTTTTTTTTTGTACAGTATAGAGAAACTATATACTGCAATCTGGACAAGGTAGGTGGCAACTTTTTAAAATCAGGTCTTTGTTTTACAGTGAACCAAATATGGCTGAATACACTGCCAAATCTACTCTCCTCATATGCTTGTGGTATTCAACAAAGCACTTTGGCTTCTCAGTTTCAGAATTGCTTCTGCACTGACACTGTTTGTCATCACGATGTGTGGACGACATGTACATGTCCTTTCTGTCCGTGTACCTCAAGGCAGGGATCTCAACATGGTGCTGCTCTGCTTCTTTTTCTGGGGGAAACCTTTGCAGTTGTTCCGCACTGTGCCACAGGCTGCTGGATCATGGGACCAATGCAAGGATCCCCGCTACCCACATGGTACTTACCTGATTGCCACACAGGAACCCAACACCACCATGCAAGTAGACTGCTGAGCCTCGTGCTGGGACTTCTGTGGAGGGTCGGTACATGGCCCATGCAAGACAGGGGTTAAGTCCAAGACTGGATTGCGGACTACCTCTTTCTGACAGGATACCCAAGCAATGCATCTTGCCAACGAAACAGCCATTGTGCCAATCTTTATTTTTCGCTTTTAATTTCATTTCTTTTGTTGGGCTTTCATTCAGGGCCGGTG